GAACATGTTGGACATGTCCCTGACATTACCAATCCAACCTGATGGTATGCTCTCAGAATGGTACCAGGAGGAAATCTAGTACTCCTTCTCTTCTGAAGTTGAGTCAGTGACTCCCCATGTCAACATTCCGAGATCTAATTCTCCTTGTTTTTGCACTATCTGCCTACGATCATATTGATCAGCCTTGACATGGATTCAGAATGGGTTCATCCCTTTAGGAATCCCTACAATGGAAGAGCCTGGATCCTCTATCAAGGAGGATTCCATTTCCCTCTTCTGAGTCAAGAGCATGGGTTGTATATAGCCCATCCATCCAACCCTGAGGATGGAGTGGGAACTTCAGCTTGGCTAGTGCAAGTGTGGCAGGAGAGAGGAATTCTGCAGAGGATGTCTCACAGATTGTTCAAGGAAACAGACATTCTACCAAGTCTTCCTGAAAATCTGCAGAGGAATTACAGTATCTTTAGCAGATTTCCATGCTGAGTGTACCAAATCCTGAGGACTTATATTCATCCTCGTCCTTTTATTTGTCTTGATGTACTGGACTTTGACTTTGATCCTGAGAATTCAGTCAGTGGTTATCACCCTGGCAAATTCGACCTGCAATGCATATGATGCCTTTGACTGTTACCCATGTGACATGTCAGTCAATCTAACACTACCAAAAGGCGAGTCCATTTGGATGCTTGACTCTGGAGCCTCACATCATGTGACTCCAGTTTCACTCTGACTTTTTATCTTTTTGAGCATTTACTACTCTGCAGTTAGCCAATACTGCTGGAAAGCAAAGAGTCAATATTATAGGTGAAGGAACTGTAGTGTTGCAGCTAGAAAATGGCTCCACTCTTTCCTTAGAAAATGTGGTTTATAGCCCACAATTTTTGAAGAGATTTTGCTCTTGAAATATGCTTCTAGACAGGGGATATAGAAGCGAAGCGACTTCATACAATGAAGTAATCCAAACACCTGACAGCTGGATTCTGGTGGAAGCACAATTAGCTTCACCCAGTTCACCGTTATGTTGGTTTGTGGGTGTTCTGCTGCCACCCTCCAATGCTTTTTCAGTCCTTTGCCCAATGGTAACACCAGATGCCAAATTACTTTGGCATAATCAGTTAGGACACCTGGCAAATAACATAATGCATCATCTTCACTGGTTGGGTCTTCCTGAAATTCCCTTATGTGGAATTCAGTCCTGCAAGGGTTGTGCACAGGGCAAAATGGCCTCTGAATCCTTCAAGCCATCCTGGAAACATGCAACTTGTCCTTTGGAACTTGTTCATGCCAACCTACTGGAACTTCCCATTGAATCATACTTCTGGTCCAAGTATGTTTTAACACTACTTGATGACTATTCTTCCTTCGGCTTCTGCATTCATTTGTGGAATAAATCTGACACTTACTGACAATTTGCTGATTGGCTACTTGCTATGCAACGCCAACTCAATCTTGAATTGGGTACTCTCCGTTTGGATTGAGGGGGAGAATTCATGGGAAATGCTTTCAAAACACTCCTCACTTCAAGGGGAATTGCACATCAGCTTTCAATAGCTGATCAACCACAACAAAATGGTCATGCAGAACAATTCAATAGAACTGTCCTGGAGAAATCCAGAGCAATTCATCATCATGCCTGTGTTCCAAAGAAATATTGGAACTTCACTTTTGACTGTGCACTACATGTGTACAACAGAACACCACTCAAGAGGATTCAATTCAAGACACCAGCTGAACTTTTCACTGGCAAAATTCCAGATATTTCTTATTTCCACACATTTGGTTGCAAAGCATATGTATGGGTACCAAAAGAACAGCAAAAAGATAAATTGGACCCACATGCAATCAAAATGATATTTTTAGGATACTGAACCAAAAACAAAAGGCTACCAATTTCTCTATGGCCATAAGGTCATTTTATCTCATACCTGCCAAGTTTGTAGAAGACTCCTTTCCATTCTGTTCGGATAGTATATCAAGAAAATCCAATACCTCAAATGACCCAGATTCCAATGACAACCAATCATCTGGTTCTAGCAATTCCAGTAGAAACCTACCAGATTTTGGGATTGATCCTCCCATCCTTGGACCTCATCCTGTCCAACCACAAAATCCACAACAATTTCCTTCATCATCCAAACCCACAGCAGGGTGGTCAACAAAACAGACCAGCTATTCCTCCCAGACCACACAGAGCACCTGCTGTTCCTCCCAATCTTGTTCAACACCCACATCAACCATATCCAGTTCCCAGTGATAACAGAAATCTTCAAAGGGCACACCTGGAACAAGCTGAACAAAGGGAACCTTCATCCTAAACACAGAATAATTCCTACATCTTCGACCTGACAATGCTTTATGGGAATAGACCTCCCATCCAGATTGAGAGGGATATTGCACAATAATAGAGACACAGCACAAGAGTGGATTAGAAATGCTGAAGAACATTCTCACAATACTAGGGAGCAACAAAGAAGAATTATGGAAGAAAGGAGACCTCCCTCAGCCTCTTAGGCCACAGGCTCCTTCTGTTCCTCAGGAATGGATATCACATCCTCCTATGTCTCCCTTGACTCCTCTACCAGAGTCATCTACTCCACCTGAAGCTGGTCCTTCTCGAACTGCACATGTCAAAGAAGAAGAAGAAGAAGAAGAAGAAGAAAACCAAAAAGGGTATTTCACAAATACCTTTGAATTCCTTCTTGCCACATGTGTCAAGGAATCTCCAGAACATTATAAAGACATCCTAAAACTTAATCTGGAAGCTCCAAAAGAAATGGTTCGATGCTATGAAGGATGAGTTAAAATCTATCGAGGAAAGAAATGTTTGGACTCTTGTGGACCCAAAACCAGATTACAAACCAGTCAAATGCAGATGGGTTTTGCACTATAAAAGTGATGGTCGCTATAAAGCTCGTCTTGTGGCCAAAGGTTTCACACAAGAATTTGGAACTGACTTTGAAGATACCTTCTCACCAGTTGCTTGTTTTGAGACAGTGTGAATTTTACTTTCATTTCACTGCTCAATGAAATTGGGAAATGAGAATGAGCACCTTGGACATCAAGACTGCCTTTCTTTATGGCAATCTGGATGAAGAAATATATATGGAACAACCTGAAGGCTTCAAAGTTAAAGGTCAAGAGCACAAGGTCTATCAGTTGCTGTGCACTCTCTATGGATTGAAGCAAGTGGCATTAGCATGGAACAAAGCCCTACATACTTCCCTACTTTGCATGGGCTTCATATGAATCCAAACTGGATGCAGGGATTTATATTTTTAAATCCTCTGCAGGCATGGTTATTTTCCTTATCTATGTTGACTGATGGATTATTTTTAGGATCTCATCCTAAACTCCTAAAAGCAAAGAAAGACAAGTTTATGAAGAAATGGGAATCTAGAGACCTTGGAGAATGCAAAGAATATCTAGGTCTTCAGATCCACAGAAACCATGCTAAGCACAAGATCTACCTGGACCAAATCCCTTATGTCAAAAAGGTGATTAAAAGATTCCAAATGGAGAATGTGCACAATGTTCACACTCCATTACCCTCTGGCTACCAACCAAAGAAACCCAAAGCTTCATATCAAGCTTCTTCTTCACTTCACTCCCAGTATCAAAGTATTATTGGATCTCTTCTTTATATGGCTCTGGGAACTTGCCCAGATATTGCTTTTGCAGTTATTCACATGTTGCAATACATGGCCAATCCTACAGAAGATCACAAACAAAAAGCACTTCATATTGTAAAATATGTTGCTTCTACTCCAAAGCTCACACTTTACTACTCTGGGACCAAATCTTGCATCTTTGGATTCACAGATTCTGATTGGGCTGCCAATGTGGACACTTGTCATTCTACTACCAGATATGCCATGTTTCTTGGCACCTCCCTTATTTCCTGGAGATCACGCAAACAGAAAACTATTGTGCTTTCTTCAACTGAAGCCAAATATATGGCTTTATGTGACTCTGCCTGTCAAATCAAATGGCTAAATATGCTTTTTGATGAACTTGACCTTAAACTAGAGAAAACTATTCTCTACTGTGATAATATGGGTGCTCACTTTATTGCTGAGAATCCTGTCTCAGATGGTCATTCAAAGCATATAGATGTCCAGTGGCACTTCATTGCACGAATGTGTTCAGGATAATCTTTTTGCCATTGAATATATCCAGACAGGACCAACAAAAGGCTGATGGATTAACCAAATCTCTCACATGGAAGAAATTCGAAACAAATTGCTCATTGCTCAGTCTCATTACCTTACCAGTTCTAGAGGCAAGGGGGAGTGTTGGAAATACTGGTTAATGGTGTTTCTCATTACCAGTTCTAGACCTGCTTATTCTATGAGTTTTACTCATATGATGTCATGCTTGCTAAGTTACTCCACAATGACATCACTTAGCTCCACTCACTCATTCCACAATGTTCCATGACATTCATTACTATACATAGTAGGTAGTAACTTTACTTACCATATGCATCACCTGGTCTGTGTGCATTCCTACATGTATATAAACCAAGGGATTTCTACTGTATCCCTCAGTGAATTCACTCTCAGTCTAACTGTTCTATGAGCCTCAACAGCTCTACTCAGAAACCATTTACTTCTCAAAGCTCTATCCAATCTAAAGGCAAGTGCTCAGTCTTAGCTCTCACCCTTTTCCCCTTTGTCCTTGTTCCTCTGCCAATAATACATTCAAATTGATGGAGGTTCCAAAGAGATAGTGATTTTTCTCTCAAACAGTGTGCATCACACCAGTGGCTCAATATCTCTGAATTTTCAGACATTTTCTAGTCTTCTTGGCTTAGATATATCATCACTTAGTTGTCTCAATAGATTCCATTCTCTTTTCATTCTTCAAAATGCTGTATATGGTCAAAAAAAAGTACAGATAGTAGGTTCCTTCCCAAAAAGTCACAAAAAAGTCAAAAAAAGTCACAAAAAGGTCAAAAATAGTAAAGTGTTAATTTCCTGACAGTTTGGAGACTGACTTACCAACATTCTGTCAAGTGATGAGGCCAGTCCAATCCCTGGGTGAATCTGGACCAAAGTTGGCAACCTAGTGACCATCACTGCTTGGTAACTGCAACCCAGAGCCCTTCAAAGTCCATCGTTGTGACAAGGCTGTAATGAATGCACTTTCAGTTCTGAGGACGAGCACAATTATTTTCTGGTATGAGAACAACGTGTTGTTCACATGGTGGGACTGATCCAGACATAAGTCCGTCCGAATACGGGTATAAAAACAAAACGGTTGAGTGGACGGAAACCGCCTTACTGATCTGATGTCGTACGCCGTCATAAGTGCCAATGCCTCCTCAAGATGATCGGGATGCATAAACGGCAAAGGACCACTTGGAAAAATCGCTTCCAAGTAGCTTCGCACGAGAGCGTGTAAACTAGGGAATTCGAGCTGTGATGGGGAGGACACGCGGAGGATCGACGCGACATGACCGAATGGAGACTTTGATGATAGAGGGCTATGAGGTGGACGGGGGAAGAATTCAATCATCAATATAACACCTGATATCGAGTCATGGTTGTTGCAACATAGACACGGAAACACGTATCATGGTATAGGTGTTCCAGCAACGACACGAATTCTTTCACCCGTACGCCAACGCCAGGTGGGCCTCTCGCCTTTGATATGTGCGAGCCAGTAAAGGTATCAGGATGGACTGGCTCCCCTTCGTCTGTACCTGGGCCTTTGAGAACGCGGCCAAAATATAAAATATGCCAAGCGCCGAGCGATTAGGCTGAAATGTAGTTTGAACAGAACTGTATCTTCTTCCGAATTACGATTGCTGAGTGTCCGATGGATAGTGACGATGACGGACCCGTCGTCGAACCAGTACTTGGCATGCTGGTCGCCTCGGATCGCTATTCCATTGGATAGTGGCACACCCCTCGACATCCAAGATGGTCAGATAATGATGTGAACCGACAACGCCAGATCAGTTTACGATTACGCAAGGAAAGTCCACACTAATGCCAGCCGGTGATCAGTACAGTACTTTACTGAGTCTCTGCAGGAAATTCAACAGTACATCTCCCTGCTTGACCACTTGCTCATACTGTGCCGTCTTGATCGACGGTCTGGTCGTCTCCACGATCCCATGCACTTGATCGATCGTGCAATGCAACAGCCCATTTGCGATGAACCGCGAGAGTTCCCTACACTAGTCCCTTCAGTACATCCTACCAAAAAAAAAAAAAGCGACCCACCTGTCGATATAGTCAACGCTCACGCCAAACGCGTCACCGAGACTCTCTAGCGTCACGCTCCGATACGATTCCAATAGTTGTGCATAGGCGAGGATACGCATTTCGCGCACGTAGTATCGAGCGTGGGGAGACAAAAGTCGGGATGGGAGAAAATACGTTTGTTCGAGTGTGGCTGTCGACAGAACCCATCATAATGGACAGGGTAATAATTCCATGAAAAGAAAAAGTTAACGTCAGTCTGTGTGGGTTCATTGATAAGGATTGTGGTGAGAGCGTACCTAACGCTACGAAAAATTTTGCGTAGCGGCAGTCATAGAGATTCCGCAGAAGATCTTCCAGGACAGGCAATTCTGGAAGAACCAAGATGACTTCAGGAGAGGCAAGTGCTGAGTGAGTCCGCTGACACCGCAGTCTTTCTTTGCAAGAGCTTCTGCTCGATTCTGTTCCACATTCAGTTCAGGACCTTAAGATGGGTGGTTCTAGTAAAGGGAGGTACCAGAAATAGTTGCCACCAGACTGAAGGCGAGGTAGGATACTGAACCCGATTACACAGCTCACGGTAAATTACTAGTAACTGCTCAGCACTTGTGATTGGACTGGCGACTGTGAATTGAGTGTGTCATTTCACTTAGTATTGGAATACGAGAGGGTTATTCTTACGCCACCATGCTCGCCCTCACGCAACGCGATCCGTGCTATATCAGCACGAGTGTTGTCCAATATGGTAGGTAAACCATGTCCCAACTCAAAATATTCGTCCACATCGTCTGGTACACCACAATGATTCCCAGTCGTCTCACGTAAGAAGAGTAACAGGGTCCCGCGGATGCATTGATCGATTCAGATCGTCCCCATTCTTGACGGGAGCGTTATTGAGTTGACACGGCAGCGGCTTCGATAGTGGCTGCAGTTGTGGTTGTACCGCTGTGTTCATTAACTCACTCATCAGTGCAGTATGAAGAGGGGGCAGCAAACGAGCTTACCTTTGGGATCTACCTGATGCGTGTGAGGCAATGGGCGGAAGTAGGGTTGCGCGAGCCAGTGGGGGAGTGCTCTGAGCCCTACTGTAGGTTCAATCGTTATAAGTTCGTCAGTCTTTCCCGTTGACTCCACTTCATCACGCTATCCAAGACCACGCAAAACGTGAAGGCAAGCGGTTAGTAGAGAAATTCATCCCAAAAGACCGTTGGTAGGTCAACCATCAGAGGTGGAACTCACCTCCATCCGCTCCCTCATCTCCTCTACGACTTCGATATACTGATCTATAGCATCTGGTCCACCAATTTTACTCAGCCGCTCTCGTAGGTCTCTTTCTCGACTCAAAGCGGGTCGCATTAATTTGAACAGGTGTCCCTTGACAGCACTCAACGCCGTCTTCGTCTTGAGACTCTTGACAATGCCCAAATACTCCAACGCCAACTTCGCATGGGGTGCGTAGATCCCCTCTCCGCACGTCCCTTTCGTCGGGGTGCTAGTAGCAGTACCGGACGCAGCAGGTGCGAATAACGCAGGGTTATACAGTTGGCCCTCAGCAGACATCACCGCATCCGCACCTGTTTCTTCCAAGCACCTCTGAACATCCTCCCAATACGAGATGTTTCCATTCGCGAATACGGGAACTGACACCGCCTCTTTCACAGCACGAATTTTGCACCAATCTGCAAGACCGGTATTATGACCACGCTGTTCACGGATGCGACCATGACATGTAAGGATTTGGGCGCCCGCGTTTTCAAGCATCCGTGCGTAGGCGACGGTTTTTTCGGTTGAAGGAAAAACCCGGAACTTGGCTGTCACGGGAACTTTGAGGTGGGTGTGGAGTGTGTTGACTGCGGTGTGCGTATTCATAAGGATACAGTGAGGTAGATAACACTTTGCTATCACCAAAAACGTTATAAGGGCAAGGCGAAGAGAACACACCTAACTTATGGATCAAGTCCCACTCATCTTGCAAAAATGAGCCATAGTGGCCGGACCTCGCGATCTCCTGTGGACATCCTAGATTCAGATCGACAGCATCACAGTGATCTTGAATCGCCTGTGCGGATGCGAGCAGTTGGTCGGGGTCGTTGGCACAAAACTGGACGATAAGTGGACGATCAGAGGGACCACCTTCTTCTGCGTGCGAGATGTCGAAAAATTTGTCGCGGTGTTTTTGAGAGGGGTTCAAAGCGAATATCTATGAAGATGGAGAGTCCGCCGGAAGAATAGGTGGAGTACAGAAGACGCACTTTGGCGTTGATCATAGGAGTGTAGACGAGCTAACGATGAAGTCGACAGCCATGAGCAGGGAGCACCTGATGACCCAACAGTCGTACTCACCTGAGCACCATATCGACGAGACAGAATTCTCCACGCCTGTGAATGGCTTGTTGAGGCGAATGGATACTAAGATAGACGAGGAAGTACCAGTTCACTCTGATCGACCATCGGTGCGACGACGTATTTCGGACTGCCGAGAACGTCCCGATAGAAATCGTAACCTGATAATTTGCGAGGGAATGGTTTTTCGGGTGCAGAATCTGCCATGGACATCGTTTTCAAGTTTGTTCGTGGGCGCGGTGGTGGCGTTGGTAACGGCAGGATGCAGAAGAGTTCATGTACGGTGGTTTGACTGAAAGTTGGGTATAAGGACAGGACAGGTGGCTCCGTATAACTTACCACCACCGGGAGAGGGAAACGAGGACGTTGGCCGCAACCATCACCGACACGCAAAAAAGGAATGGGGAACAGTGTGTCGGAGATCCGTCCACTCAGCAAATCCACTGCGCACAGACTAGAACCTACGCCAATCCCACAGCTGTGAAATGAGTTGGTCTCAACTCTCACTGGCACTCCCAGTTATACACGCAGATGTAGGTCAGACAAAGAACTCCCCCTCTTCCCTCGAGCGTTTCCATATTTTTTCTCATTGCAAGATAACAAAGTTGGCAGTATGTTGCGAGACGTATACAGTAAGCATCGATACGAATAGTGGGCTCGATTAGGATGGGGAGTACTCGCAACTACTAGCATGCCATCATGGTGGCTATGTACTTACCAAGCACTCGTCAATGGCATCAATATCAACATTACAGTAAACGTGCATGTGGATGCTTGAACATTGACGACGACCGCAGTGCGCCCCAGCTCGTACTATACAATGTCCCACACCGTCTCACGTCCACAACCCATCCCTCCACCACCCGACACGGATGTCCCAGACAACCTCCAACATGCGACGCTCCGACTCAATTTCCCTCCTTCCTATGTCATCGTGGGCGTTTACAGACTATTCACCGACAAGTCTCTCTACAAGCCTGCGTGGGATAAATGCAAACATGGCGTACGGCGGGGTGCAATTGTCGGTTTTATATGGGTGCGTCTTCATTCTGTCATTCTTCAGGTGTATACCTACCACCCCGAAGAATATATACTCAATATATCGTCTGGATACGTAGACCTGTTTCACGTATGACGTGCAAAAACGCTTCGTTCGTGTACTCCTGAACCACCCCTCATCGATATTCTATCCAAAATCCATGGCCCGTCTCTCCAAAACTGCTACCGATCTTTCGGAAGAAACATTCATGGGCATAAAGCTGCCCTTGAATATGACCACCTGTGTGTCTTCTTCCTCTTCCTTGGTCTCCATCCTTGACAACCCATTCCGTCATGCTGACATGACTGTCAATATTGGTAAATGCTGTGCTCACTCTGTCTCGATTTCCCAGATGTGACAGCGATTTTAATTGGCACGCAAGTCACAGCCATACTCACCTTCTTCCTTTCGCGTAATATCCGTATCGCAAGAAGACGGGTATGGGATCAAACTGTTACTTCCCGGGGCAAAGGCCCGGATTTTTGGCAGCCATATGTTGAAGAATGGCAAGTACCTCCTGTCATCGAACAGGATTTGACGTCGCGCGTGATCAACAAGTTTGGACTTTGGATCATCGCTGTGGTCGTGAAGAAAGGTACGTGCATATGACCTGTGGTGCATGGAGGTGGTTGTCGTTTGATAATTGACGGGGTTACATGATGGGAGTGGGAGCAGATCCTTAATGGTGCTGATTTGCCTATGGTTTCCAGTGATTATTATTCCATTGTCTTTGTACCCATTCATAGGCACCATTGCTATCGCGGCACTCAAGAGCATGGAAACAGCCCGGTATCTCCATCAGCCAGTACGGGTCTCTCATACTTCTTTGCTAAATATTCACACTTTGCAGTATTTCAAAGCCAAGAAGATGACACCCCACGAGGTCGCAGTATTCACCGAAGAACGAAAATGGGATTACAGGCGTACGTGTTTTTCACCGTCGAGATGCTCGTTCTTGGTACTTACTATTACCAACGCGTTGGCGATTGTCGACGCACACACTGTATCCAGTGTTTGGTTTTACTGCCGCCCTTCTGGAAGGGTTACCGATCGTTGGGCTCATATTTACGGTATCTAATAGGATAGGCGCTGCCATGTGGGCACACGGTAAGTTATTTTTCATGCAAACCGGGTTTCCCCCTATGGGCTCCTAGTTCTTTGCGGATTATTCTGTCTGACCACATTCCCCCACAGACCTCGAAAAGCGGCAACATTATTTTGCTTCTTTGCATGTATCACAAGGAGTGGATGCTTCTGTTGTGGATGCTGAGAAGTTGCAGTAGAACCGAGTCGGGTTTGAGATGGAAGTTGGCGTTGTCTTAATCTCGTGTAAATTGTATCATTTGCATCTGGTGTATTTCTTGCCCCGGCTAGGTAAGCCGAGCCTCCTTCCGCCAGGCTGGGCCTGGCCCTTAGAAACTCGGTGTGTAGTTCGTCGGGGTTTTATTCTGAGCGGGAGCCGTGCATCATACTATGGTGCACGTCGACGTGCAACCCCGGATGGCCGTGTCTTCCATCACCTCTCTAGCCGCAGTACGGAGAAAGCGATCATGTACATGATTCGTGATGCAACCACCAACCCTTGTTGCCGTAAATTTCTTCGAGTGCAAATTCCACGCCCAACACTTGGGAAGGCCATTTTCCAGTCTCCCCCAGGCAAACCAAAGATTCAACGGAAGACAATCGTTCCCCCCCAACTATCGTTTGATACGCTGAAGCCGAAGCAGAACGAGCACTTTTGTCATCCGATACGAATACATACCATACCTTCATTCTATTCCGCCGTCATGTTCAGTCCATTTCAATGTGTACCTTAGACGCATGACCAATAAGCCGACTGCGCACCCGTGGGTTCATGTTTCTTCGGGAGGAAAATATTGCGCTCGCGAATACTGTAGGCTAGTGTTACTAGACGATATGGGGTGGATCATCAGGCTGGGACAAGCACCCCTATCAGAGTCAACCTTTCTCTACCCACACTTACTCGAATTAATTCATCGTTACACGCAAGCCATTATGTTCCCTATGGCTGCGCTGTGCATTTCGGTTATACAAGGAACATCAGTTGCTGGAGTAAGTCGGGAGTTGAAAGCTTTTTACTCCACCTCACACATACAGCAGTAGGTCGAATGACCGTTGAAGCTTGACCAGTGTATCGATGAATGTCTTGCCCCATAACATAGGTACTATCGTCCCCGTTAGCCGGGCACAAGTGCAAGAGGAATGACAATGTCAGCGTTGGCTGTCACTGTTGCACCAGGAGTACAAGCTATTTGAGGGGTGGTAAGACAGTGTCCAGGCATGCCGGAGAGCTTTCTTCGGAAGAACATGAGTATGTTAACATGGCCGACTCTACCTAGGTCTTCCTTGCAGAGGGGAAGGTGCCACAGACAGCGCGTTGAGACGTGATTAGGTTAGGTGCAGGTTGCGCTCTGAAGGCGAAGGGTGTTTTAAGAACGTTTGCTTAGGAACGTCTTTCCATGTGGTCTGGGGTCCCTGAAAGGGTGAGTGAGCTGGCGCACCGTCCATGTCGGGTGTTGTTGAATCGGTGCGTCTGCGAACGGAGAAACACATACGGTGGGCTTCCAGGTCTGCTTTCATTTCTGAGCGAGTAACAGAATCTTTTGGGATTGCGTTGTGGATACGTGGGGACTGATCCGGCTTGGGTATGCAGCACTGTTATTATCCTCGGGTGAAGTAGGTTCGTCGGACAGTGAGGATGCTTGCGGGAGGTGTATCGGATTCACCATGTACATCGCACTGTACATAACTTCGTGTGAGAGTAGGAAGGGCACTCAGATTGTCACCAGCGCATATCTGGTCATAACTAACAACATCGCCTGTTCTCAGCAGTCTGGCCATGAGCACCCCCACCATAACGATCGACGTCGTAAGTGCACGGGCCCGTTCTCTGCAAGTCACACAGGCCTCACCCAGACCCTCTACAACACACAGGTCCTCGACAGGCGCAGTGCCAAAGAAGTCCTCCGCGCCATCCTTCATGCGATCTTGTTCCATAGATTATTTGGCACGGTGAAACCAAAAACATATGAGGTATTAGACGTCACTGTGGTACGTAGTCGTTCTTCTTTCCATTCTCTCTTTCTCCATCCCCCGAGTATAGAATGAGATAAAGCAGCGACTGATCTGCGAGCACACAGCCTGGCGTAGCAGACTCCGAGATGGAACAGCTTATCAACGACAAAGTAGATGTCTTCTGGAAAGCCATAGAGAACGGTACGAGTACCAATAAGCGTGGTCAGGTATGTCATCTCTCCCTGAGCTCCTTTTCTCTTTCCTTTCCCTCCGTGGCCATTCATGATGCCGATCTACTTCTACATGCGCCCGCACCGTCAACCATACGAACGACCAGATTCTGGTTACATTTTCCGAAAAACGGCCAAAAAAGTCCTGGTTCCAAGTATATATGGGCGAAGAGGACGTTCCATGGGAACAATGGCAAGTCTGATCCTCTCACTCCCTTCATCAATCCATCCATCTCATTCTCGAGTGCCTCACGTCGTCCTTACCCTTCATGTCTAGGATTGTCAACGGAGAAATGAGACAGCCTAAATCAGATAAAGGTACGCCTTACTCTCTGTATCTGCTTGTGTTTCGATTCACCGACGCACTCCACTATCCGCACCAACAAGATTTCGATACAACACTCGCGTCCACACTTTCTAAAACATTGCACACCATACTCACCTATACATCATCCGAACGCGGACGTACGGCTGTACCCCTAATCACCAATGCGACGGGTATATCACCTTTTCCCATTAAGATCAGCATTAAGATGGATGGCATGGAGATCGGTTGATGCATCCCCCCCAGTTCACCTTCCGCCACCCGCCCCGCGTTCCATTTCATACCCACTTCCACTTCACTCAATAACCGGTGATATCTCCACTACAAATTTACGGACGAGCGGGGTGATGCGTACCGAAAACCAAGAACATACGTCCCCCTGACAGTCGATTTGTCTCGACCTGGACTTGATGAACTATGAACATCAACTTGGTATTAGCCCCGTATACGTTTGCTACATTTATGTATATCTCCACATTGAACGCCATGGACCCTACGTCGAGGTTTGGACGGAAAGGGATATAACCATATCATACATTCCGATCCGTAGCGAACGTCTAAGAAATAAGAATACAACAGGGGTGGCACCTATGAAAAGTAGGAGGGAAATGTTGCCTACACGTGCAATTACACTGAGAACCGTTTGAACCACTGTACAACACTCCTGGCGCATTCCTCTTTTGCCCAACCTAAGGTGAAATGTGAGTGTGGTTGTTGTTGGATCCATACAGAAGAAGAGAATCAGATTTGAGAACTAAGTACAAAGAACAAAAGAGAACGAATCACAAAAAGAAAAGAGACACCCACGCTGATTTTCCACACTCGGATCCGCACGAGTGGCGAACCCGTGCGAAACACCGCTGAAAATCTGGAAATAGTACGTCACTTTCTTCGCGGACAACACATCCTCGACTGAGTGGCGCAGGTCAGGTTTGAATGCATTGTCAATGTCTGGGTGCAGTGAGTATGGTCCGTGCCCCATTGGAGGGGAAGGAATATATGTACCTGCGCAAGAGAATAGGACTGGTGCTGATGGGCCAGGAAAGAGCGAGAGTGGTGTGGGTGAAGTGAGATATAGTAGGTTCAGAGGTACGGTATTTCTTACTGCTGCTTTTCGACACAGAGTCAACTGTTAATGCCGTGGGATGTGCAACAGCAGCTACAGTGCGTAGGTTGTCAGAGTCAAACGTCTATCGGTAAGCGTTGAGGTGTATGTACCCGCCGCGAGTAGACCGGTTTCACCCTGATCAAAGACATATGGCGCACCAAAACAGTAGCCTATAAAGTACGTCAGGTAATCGTACAGAGAGTGATCGCTACTGGAACTATTGTTTGATATGAGACGCACCTGCGGCAAAATATTTGACACCCTCAGTTCCTGTCGAGTAGAAGGGGACGTTATCAGCAACAGATCCGGTTGGTTGGCACTGTGAGGCAAGGGCAGAAGAAGTTCATGTTGACGCACCATAGCTCTGCTTGATAGCATCCACCCAACCAGGTATGAATGTCTTGGCTTGGTTGACTGATTTCTCTCTCCATGTCGGACGATCGAAGTTAGGGTCGTTAACATGGAGAGCGTAGGAGTCGCCGAAGAAGTAGTCGATGCCGAGGACAGTAAAACCTGTTGGGAGCAGTGGACACGGTTAGGATCACCCGCGCAGGCGGAAACGCATTGGTAGCGCGCGGCAGCACCTTGTTCTCCTCGCTGCGACGGAGGGAGAGAAGGATAACTCACCCTGCGTTGCAAAGTAATCCTGGAGGAGTTGGCTGTTGAGATAGAAAGGTCCGAATACGTCTGAGAAGTAAAGGATAATCTTGCGTGGCGGGCCGTCGGGACCAGACTCTGAGGGTTCAGCGAGGTAAGTAGGAACGGATGCGCCGCCGACATCGATGTCGATGCGCCGACCAGTAGGCGTACCGGCGTGCTGGACGGTAGCGAAGCAGTGGTCTGTGAGTGTGTCGGCCATGTTCGATGTCGACGCAGATAAGATCTCGGTACTGTGCAGTGTGTACTTGCATTTAAATCCGATATATACTTGCCACAGACGCTGACGTCGCCGGCCCCCACCTCCCCTCACACAACTGACAACAACCATGGCCGACTCAACCCAGGCCTCGTCCGAGATTCAGATCAACGTCAAAGGTAATGTAAAACATAAACATTCGTCTCGGTAGCAAGTCGCTTATCTTCCGGCAGGCCCCAACGAGCTCAAGCTCCAGATTTCCATCGCCACGGACAAGACCGTGCGCGACCTCAAACAAGCCATCGCTGCCAAGTCAGATGTCGAAGCTGACAGACAAAGACTGATCTATTCAGGTATTTGTCCTCTTGCTCCTCATCCCCCGTTGTCTTCGCTCATCGCATTTTTTAATGGTCCAAATGGACGATAGGTAGAGTATTGAAGGTTTGCGTTGCCATTTCCCTCGCCTGACTCCCGGGGCTCATTAATCATTTGCGACGCCCCCAGGACGAGGATCTTCTCTCAGTATACAAAATCCAGTCATCGCACACCATCCACATGGTCAAAGGTGCAGCCCGATCCAGTGGCCCAACCAACCAACCCTCTACCGCACCGCCAGCCCTCCCAACGATGCAAGCTGGCCAAAACCCGCATGACCCGCTCACCCAATTAAACAGCCATCTAGGATTTGGTGCGCTGGCGGGTTTCAACCCCTTTGCAGATATGGGCCTTAATCCCAACGATCCCAACATGGTGCGTGGTACCTTTGCTTCATACCTACGTCAATATCGCTAAACGACGATGCGCCATATCTCGTCGTTCATATTCTTGTTCGACACATGCGCGTCGCATCCATTTCAAAAAAAAAAAAAAAAAGATGCAAAGCATGATGGGCTCCCCTGAATTCCTCCAACAAATGTCCAGTGTCATGTCCAATCCCGCCGTCCTCGACCAAGTCATCGCATCTAACCCACAACTTGCCGCAATGGGACCCCAAGTCAGAGAGATATTTCAAAGTGAACGATTCAGGCAGATGTTGTGTGTGTCATTCCATTAGTTCCTATACGTCTAGCTGGTCGGTAGGACGTGTGTGACTAACGTTATCGATCCAGGGCAAATCCAGAGATGTTAAGATCGATGCTGCAGATGTCGGCGGCCCTCCACGGCACGGGACTCGGCGGCGTGCCGTTCGGAGCTTTTGGCGGTAGTGGGAGCGGCGCTCAATCCTTCTTCCCTGCACCTGGTACCCCTTCAACAGGGGCAACACCTGCGTCCACACCTTCTACCGGCCAGCAACAACAGCGAACAACGTCAGCCACCCCCGTTCAGTCTTTTCGGCGGAACGCCACAGTCACCAAGTCCTGGCATTGGTGCCAACCCGTTCCTCAACTGCCGCACTTATGCAACAGATTCTGGCGGGAGGAACGGGCGGTGGTTCTTTTGGCGCAGGTGCAGGCATACTATCGACTCCAGCAGATACACGGCCGCCTGAGGAGAGGTTCCAAGTCCAGCTCCAGGTTTGTTCCACACCTCCCTTCGTCTCCCCTCTTTCCCTCTTCTCACTGTCCACTGCACAATAGCATCAGTCACAGCAACTTCAGGAGATGGGATTCACCAATGCCTCACAAAACGTGAGAGCGCTGTTGGCGACAGGTGGTAATGTCCAAGCTGCTATAGAGTACATCTTCAGCGGTGGGGGTGTGTAGGCTATTTGCCATGTTATATGTGATCAATGTTTTCTATCTGGAAGTGCTACGCTACTTTCCTAGTGATTGATGTTATAGTATTGGAGTGCGAGAGTGAACGTCGTTCTTGCGCTTACTGTACATGGCTGCGTCACTGCTGATATTCTATCACACTTGGTACGTGGTCGGTCTCACCCTCACGCAACGCGATCCGCGCTATATCAGTACGAATGACTGAGTGTTGGATATGGTAGATAAACCATGTCCCAATGCAAAATACTCTTTCGCGTCGCCTGGTACACCACACTGATTCCCAGTCCTCTCTCGTAAGAAGAGTAACGGGGTCCCGCAGATGCACATCCTTTGATCGATCTAGACCATCCTCGTTCTTGACGAGAGCGTTAGTGAATTGGGGCGGCAGCGGCAGCGATAGTGGCTGCAGTTGTGACTGTAGTCCGGTGTTCATTAACTCACTCATCGGTGCAGTATGAAGAGGAGGCAGCTAACGAGCTCACGTTCGGGGATCTACCTGACGCAGGTGAGTCAACGGAAGGAAGTAGGGTTGTGCGAGCCAGTGGAGAAGTACTCTGAGCCCTATCGTAGGTTCAATCGTTACAAGCTCGTCAGTCTTTCCTGTTACTGCCACTTCATCGCACTATCCGAGACCACGCAAAACGGGAAGGGATGCGGTTAGTAGAGAAAATCATTCCAAACGACCACTGGTCCCTCATCTCCTCTGACTCCGATATATTGATCTATAGCATCTGGTCCACCAATTTTACTCAGCCTCTCGTAGGTGTCTTTCTCGGCTCAAAGCGGGTCGCATTAATTTGAACAGGTGTCCCTTGACAGCGCTCAACGCCGTCTTCGTCTTGAGACTCCTGACAATACCCAAATACTCCAACGCCAACTCCGCATGGGGTGCGTAGATCCACTCTCTACATGACCCTTTTGTCAGGGTGCTAGTTGGTGCTAGTAGGTAGTACCGGACGCAGCAAGGTGTGAACGTCATCCCAATACGAGATGTTTCCATCGCGAATACGGGAACTGATACCGCCTCTTTGGCAGCGCGAATTTTGCACCAATCTGCGAGACCGGAATTATGACCACGCTATTCACGGATGCGGCCGCGACATGTAAGGATTTGGGCGCTGGCGTTTTCAAGCATCCGTGCGTAGGCGACGGTTTTTCGGTTGAGGGAAAAACTCGGAATTTGACTGTCACGGGAACTTTGAGGTGGGTACGGGGCGTGTTGACTGTGGTACGTGTATTCAAAAGGATATAGAACACTTTGCCTATCACCAAAAACGTTGTAAGGGCAAGGTGATGAGAACACACATAACTTATGGATCAAGTCCCACTCACCCTGCAAAAATGATCCATGGTGGCCGGACATCGCAATCTCGCGAGGACATCCTAGATTCAGATCGACAACATCACAACAGTCTTGAATCGTTTGTGTGGAAGCGAGCAGTTGGTCGGAGTCGTTGGTACAGAACGGAACGAGGGGTATACGATCGGGGGGTCCGCCTTCGTTCCTTCTGCGTGCGAGATGTCGAAGCATTTAACATGGAATTTTTGAGAGGACTTCCAAATATTTGTGTAGGTGGAAGTCGGAGGAGTTCGCTAGAAGGGTAAGTAGAGAAAGAGAGACGCACTTTGGCGTTGGTCGTGGGAGTGATACAGTCAGTGCTGTGAAGAACTCAAAAATGACTGAAGGGGTGGACTCAGCTCGATGCTCCGGCCCTATATTTCCCCTTCCGCCTCTTCAACACTTGGTACCAGACCTCATGGGCGACGTCCCCATTCGCATCCCCGGCACGGGCACCCATCTAATTTCGAGTTGTCCTCTTGGGCGTTTCGATTTGGCACAGTGTGTTGGGTGAGGAGGGGAGACAGGAGATGAGGGCGGGCAGGAGGATGCCATTTATACGAGAGTGATATAAGAGGGTGTGCAAAGAACAAACGCGGCGCGTTGAGCAGTTCGAAGGAAAGGACACATCCATCCCCACACATTGATCCAATTTGCATTATTACATACCCTTTCATACACATGCCCAGCTGAATCAACCATTACATGTTGAGAGCCGCGCACTCCTCCATGATCCGATTTACAGTGAGACGCAATCGCTCCTCACCAGCAGGCTCCAAGATGTCACAATCCCAACGATCAGCCGGTGCAGGGTCGTTCATCTCGGTAGGGTGGTGTGAGATGGCAGCAGGTACAATCTCTGCAGAGCTACACCGCGTGTCTACGCTGTAAAAGCATAACTTCGTTCCCAACGCACTGATAGCATGGAGTGTATCTAAGGGCAGGACGGCTGAAAACACATGTTTAGATGGCGGACAGCGTTTGAATACAAATCACTTACCAGCCATATCGTGCATGCGATTCCTGATCTCCTCGTCCACCACCTGACGTGTTGACGGAAGATCACGGTAGCTTGGAACCCTCAACTCCAGGATTAAAAGTGGTTTGTCCACCAGAAAAATTTCGAACACGGCGGTGACAGGAGCCTGTGGGGAATCCTGGAAGAACGCGGGCCCGACTGCGAAATCGCTGGCAGGGGGAAAGAGTATATGAAGTTTGTTGTAGGGCCCAAAATAGTCGCTGTCAAATCAATGACTGCCCTCGGCCACATGGTGGTTGGTACCTGAAGTGTAGGAGAAGTCACTGGATAATTGGGGATCTGTTTGTGGTCAGGATATACCCCGATCCACCTGATCCCAAGGATCTAACATCGACCATATATTCCAGCGAACTGAAAGCAAGGTTAGATGTAAATATGATACTAAATCCAATTATACAGTTCGAGGTAAATTACTTGACTCCATATTCCAATAGTAACCGCTCCTGGCTCTAGTTCTTGTGACGGAACTGACGGTTATGCATTATAGCCCCTTACTGCGCACGCTTTCCTTTTCCTTTCCGAGATCCCTCTTCGCCGGCAGCAGACATACCCAATGGCGAAGCACAACTATCCCGCGCGCTACCTCTTCCGCCACGCAGGCTTCCAGCCCTGCTGACTTGCCCGTGCCCATTCCCATCCGCAATAGGGAGCAACAGAGGTGATATAGGACTCGTTAGGGACAGTTTTTCTACCTCACCCACCATGCCATGCAAACCGTTTGGAACACCGACATGTGACGATCGCATGGCAAGCATCGAAGGGTGCACCTGAAGACTACAGACATTAGACATGGGCACGTGCAGCCCCGATGTCTGGGGCGAGGGCACAAGCCCCTGGTGTGCCGCGCCTTGTCGCGTCGTGGACGCCATATCCTTTGCCAGGCTCTCGGGATCCACCATACGCTGGAATGCATACAACGCCATAAACGCATCATTCCCCGCGTTATTTAGCACGCAGGGGGGCTGTATTCCGAGGGAATGGAGAAGCATAGCAATGTTAGGCCGTGGAGAATGGTGTTTGGACGGCATATGTGTGCTACCGGATAACGTGCGTTGAAGGGTTGCGGTATCGATCACGAGTGTGTTATGCGGTAGTTCTGAGGTGGACGGGTCATTGTCTCAATTTGGAGACTGCAAAGGTGAGATCTGTACGACGACGTACTGATTTTCATCTCTTCGAGACGTTGGATGTCAACCTGCACACCATGTCCGACCAGAACAAGATTGTTGGCCGAGGTTTCCGTATCCGGGCTAACGAGGCTACTGTGGAGAGTTAGCAATGTAATGGGAATGCAGCTGTCCCTGTCATGTAGACACACCTGATTACGGACTGAATGATCCGAGGTAGTTTCGCTTTGGGGATTACTTGGCTCTCGCCAAACTGCAAGTGATTGTAGGAAGTGCAGGATCAGGTATCAACCCGGTGCATTCTCGCTGATACTTCTGCCAACAGACTCACTGCATACTGTAGGTGGGGGGTTCGAGTTAGTTAGTTTTGGCTGGGTAGTTGAGATAAGAGAAAGGGTTGGCGCACCATCCATGGGTAGTTGGGGTTGAGCCTGTTAACAACTTTGTCCGCGTACTCGGCAATGACGTAGTGACCTTTTCTGTCGCCTTCCACGTGAGCGTCCGACGTGCGAAGGCATGCGCAGAGGCTGCTCCGACCTACCGGTAATTTGTCCCTGGGACAGGTGGCCAAGCACCTAAGTCTAATGTCTGAAGTAAGCACCAACACAACAATGATATCTAGGCGCTGAAGTCGACAGCGTCTCATTTACCCGTCAAGGTGTCCGCACCGCACAGTGGCGTATCCCCACTCTAAACACGACTGGCTATTCCGTTCCGACCACATAAACCCAACAGCAAGAAAGGTTTTATCCCGACTTGCCCATAGCGAACGTATGGCCTGCGGGTCTCCACTACGCACGCGTGCCCGAAAGGCGGAAAGCGCGACGGCGGGAAGTGTTGCATGTAATTTCTTGTAGGTGGTCCAGTCGTTTACGTTTCGTAAGTGACGTTGCACAGTTTCGGAGGGCGTGACTTTGAGCATATTGTCGATTTGGGGGAGCGTCTCGCCGAACCTACGTACATGAACGCGTGGGACGCATGGTACGGCGGACGTTAGGGACGGTAGGATCACAAATGAAGAAGGATGATTGTTCGTTACCTGGTTCGTATCATCTTAAGGAATGCTCCGATGGACGTTAGACGGGTTACGATGTGCGCACGCCCGGTACGCGCATCGGTCACCGTGATCACGGGCCAGGAAAACGTGAGGAACTGCTCGAATGTTTCGAATAAGTGACCCCACGATCGATCGTACCTGCGTTGACCCACGCAGAGGGTAGCGGGGCCCATCGTGAGCTATTGCATGGCAGAAGAGGGAGATGGAATTTAGTGAGAAACGTACCATGGGACGCTGTGCAGTTGGAAGTAACCCATGTAGGCCGAATGTACCTGTGCACGCGGGGAAGAGATATCAATCATGCGATAAGCGCAGTAGGAGAAAGAGCGCACAGACTGGAGGTCATACTCCCAACCTTGAGGATCAACGAGATGGAAGTCAGACATTTGTCGGTCGATCAGCGGTTGGTAGTGGAGAGGCTGAAGAAGAAAGCTAGCCTTCGAGAAGTCGGCGCTGGGCGCAACAAGTTTTGGTGGTTGACAAGAAGGCCAGCACGACGACGCTGGGGGGCGGCGACAACGTGCTGCTAGTTTAAGTAATAAGTTACTGGTGTATTTCGGAAGAAGAGAAGTGTAAATTCAATTTCGGTTGACGTTTGCAACAAAAATGATTGAAAGTGGTTAGTCCTCAGGGCACACCGCTGATTGGGCGCACAGGGTTCGGCTAATCTCTCCTCGAAATGGAACTGTCCCCTTTATGGGTATTCATCCCGGCCCCGCAGCGTTTTTACATCCGTGCTTCCACCAGGTCCTGAGGAACCGCACCTTGAAGCAATACCATAGGAGACGTACAACTAAGTATGCAAACGTACAGCCCTATGCAGGCTAGTTGCAGCGGCCTGTGACAAGTGCCGACAAAACGTCAAATAACTCGAAAACAAAGGCCCTAGATGTCGACAGTAGAACGCACATAAAAAGGGCATCTCGTGGAAGAGCAACTCTCAACCGCTCATTCTATTCATGACTTACATGAAAGGGTAACCACTAATACACGAACAAAATGATCCCCGTTTCATTCACATACGTAGTACGAGCACACTTACGACCGACTTTTCACGTGCCTAGAAATGAACGACGAGCGTTAGCATACGAGATGAGGGAGATAAACCAATCAAACACGTAAGTGGTAGGAATGGATGGATGGAACGAATAAATGATATGTAGATCAGAGACTTGAATGGGCCCATGAAGGGCTGCGTCCACGGTGCGTGCACGTCACGAATGCATTTTTTGCATCATGCAAAGGTTGGAGGACAGGAGGCACACTCACCTATACCGTGTATCACAAAAACAATTCCACCACGAGTTTTCTATTTCGCTTGACGCCGCAAGGCCCTGGAAACGAGCGCGACCCCACGCAGGCGGCCCGGAACAGGAATCTCAGCCACTCAACCCACTGAATCCTGTCACGGCCTAGCTCTGCCCTAACACGAGGAAAGGGTATGCGCTTGCACGTAGGGGTGCCGCCACGACCTGAACAAAGTAGGATGTTTGTTAAGCTACATTCACTGCAAGTTGTGATAGTTCAGTCAGGATAAAAAATTATTCTCATGGCCTGCGTACAGGCTATCGAAGTGAGCTGAGTAGGTTTTCATCTTGGAGGGAGGAGAACAGGAAGGGCACCGACTTACCTCAGTCCTTGGTCGACCACATTCAAGCCATCGCATTTACTGTCTTTTATGTACACAGACCCACCCTAAACCGGTCACATAATCAGCCACGTGACAAAAACTATACAGCACCACACGGTAACTTCCCACGCCCTCACACAGTACATCCCATCTCATTACCAACAGAGCCTGAGCTAGGACACCGACCGACCAAGAAGATGCAGATCTTCGTGAAGACCCTCACGGGGAAGACTATCACCCTCGAGGTGGAGTCTTCTGACACCATCGACAATGTCAAGGCAAAAATTCAGGATAAAGAAGGGTGAGTATATTGTCGGCAGACCTGTCGTCCACAAGGACCACTCCGTCCCTGCCTCAGCGGGAGCGGTTCCCGCGTGATTCCCCAGAGAACCAATAACTGATCCCAATTGTTTCTAGTATCCCTCCGGATCAGCAACGTCTTATCTTTGCTGGCAAACAGCTTGAGGATGGACGTACGTTAAGCGATTACAATATCCAGAAAGAATCCACGCTTCACCTCGTCCTTCGGTGCGCTTCTCATTCTGCGTCGTCTCTCCCTCCTTTACTAACAGACTCGAATATGAACAGCCTCCGCGGCGGCATTATTGAACCCTCTCTTAAGGTCCTCGCTTCCAAATACAACTGCGACAAGCAAATCTGTAGAAAATGCTATGCGAGACTTCCTCCTCGTGCGACGAACTGTAGGAAGCGAGGGTGTGGACATTCGTCCCAGCTTCGTCCGTCTGTGTTCCTTCTCCTTGTCCCTCCTATCTCTCTTTGTTGATTCCTGGCTGTCGTACAGAAAGAAGAAGCTGAAGTAATCAATTGTCATGTTGCCCGCCACCCACTCGCGATATGTTTGGGTGCTTTCCGTGGGTTGTGTGGGGCCGCGGCGTGTGTATGGGTGGGATGGAATCCATGAGAGATTCTACCACATCTCCGTAGCTGCGGCATATTCACTTGTTCCTCGATCGACCTGCATGTACAATTGCATTTTCACTGGGTTACAAAATTTTACATAAACGCTACGAATCTTGCTCGAGTCGCTTGTACGTGCTGTCCATCCACAGGCCCTTTTCATCATATCAAATGCCGAACATACGAACACGAGTCCTTGCTTTCGACCACCATTTTGTTTGTGAGAGCGTCGCCGAAATCACTGACGGCTCACACCGTGAATGATGGCGGGAATGAAGCGGGGATTATCAACATTCGGCCATATGCATCTCATAACATGAGGGTAATACCCGCCCTGTGAATCCCGTCAACGTGCGGATGATACAAACCCACACGAGGTCACTGAACATGCCGAACGTGCATACAATCATTTGTATAACATAACCCAGCCAACTTCTTCGGTCAAATTCGACTTAGGACACGACCTAAATCAAACGCAATGAACCGACGGGCAAGGAAACGAACCCTATCACGCGTTACCGAGACATGTACAAGACGTCGACTCGGAGACACCAACAAACAGCAAGACAACAATGGGTACACAAGGACCACCACCAGCCCACACGGTCATGAATCGAGGATAACTACAACGTCACATAACACCAGGTCCCCATTAAACACGATAAGAAAAGAATGGCTACGAGTATGGAGAAACGACGAATGCGATGCAGTCCAAAAAGTTCGTCATGGAGGTTGACAACGTCCTATAGCACGTGAATAAATCGAGCAGGATGACGATGACAGAACAAAAGTCACTGTTTATGTAAAAGTAGAGTAGCACTACTCATGCTCCACCATCACCAAGTCAGAAATCTCAATCTATCGAGAAAGGACAGATTATCGATCCATGGTGAGAATGAAGATGGAAAGATGCAGCGAGTTTTATTTAGAAAAGCATAACAGCACCGGCAACGGCAGAAAGAACAACAACGGCAACGGGAGCTGCAGCGAAGTCGAACTTGTAGGGAACGCCGTTGAAGCTGGTAGGCGATGTCGTGGAGGATGCGGTCGTGGTAGCTCCGGTGGAAGCAGCTGTAGTGGCCGTGCTAACAGATGCGACGGTGCCAGAAGCGCTAGACGTAAGGCATCAGTGGTGGAATTCGGCGATTAAAAATAACTCACGTTGTGGGAGAAGTCGAAGTCGCAGTACCAGAGGTAGTCGTGCCAGTTGCCGTATTCGAGGAAGAGGTCGCAGCTCCGATACTGAACGTCGAGCTGGTAGCGTACACGTCGTTCACGTTGCTATAGTACGACAAAACAAGAAGGACGGTTGTTAGGGTAACCCTGTGGGGTGCGCTGGGGGGGAAAAATAGAAAGGAGTACCTTGGATTAATGGCCTCGAGCTGGTAGTTGGTGCTACGCAAAGACGTCAAAATTATGCACGGAAAAAATCGCAAGAGGCAAACTTACTCAACAGGGACTTGAGGAAGCTGGAGCGTAAGTGTGCCCAGAGAAGTCTGAACGTTGTTTGCGATGGCAAATGTGTCGTGGAAGACAGGGTTGACCAGTTGGAAAGTGAAGTACGCAGGGTCTGTGGAGGTCGCCTGCCAGGTCAACGTGACAGATCCGCCGGTCGTAGCACCCGTGGGGGCCACAAGGGTAAGTGCGGAAACGAATGGCAAAGCCAGAGCAATGGCACTAGAAATGGGTCAACAGCAAGCTGGGGCCAGTAGGAGAGGAGATGCCGCACAGAATCTGGGCGAACATGGTCAAGGAAGAGGGGGGGAACAGAGAGGAACAAGGACGAGAATGAACCTGCGGGTCCCAAGAATTTTTCGTTTAATTTATAGGTCGAAGCCGAGCTGCGCAGATTCCCACGGGGTTCTCGTGAGGTTCACATGATCCCATCCCCGATGTTCCATTCCGTTCGGCTCCTATCCTGTAACAGTACACTAGAATATCCGGGCGACTGTCTCCGCCGCCACCGCCACCAACCGAGTAGAACATTGGGCGCTTGAACTCTAGCACGAACGCGTCCCCCTCCCTCCCCAAGCTCACCGCTGCCCCCTGTCTTCTTTCTTTCCATACAAGGAAAGTCTGCTGCCCAAGTATTATTAATAGATCTGGAACGCATTTGGCATCAGCTCTCCGCCGTACATCCAGACAGCCAAGATCCTCGCCTCATCGAACGGCCTCGTATCATTGAAACAACTCTCCCAGACCTCGTTCACTGCACGTTCAGCTGCAGCCCCGTCTGGGCACTTGGGATTCGCCCGTACGGACAGTATGGCCCTTCGGCGTACGCATGCCTAGTCAGGGAAAGAAAGAAGAAAGAAGAAAAACAGAAAAAAGGAGCGAGCATGAGTTCTCTAAGCATCAGAATCATGCAGAGGAGTGACCTGGTGCTGTTTCGAAAGGGACACGTTTCCTCTTCCTACCTCGCGCATGAACCTGCAGTCCCCACTCAGACTATTGGCACGAATCTTGTACAAAGCATTAGACAGTCAAATCTTTCCATCACATTTCCGCTCGATTTGGGTTCACTCACTTCGCTGCATGCATGGTGTCTCAAATTATACCAATCAACGTTAAACTTGCAATGGTCATACATGTGTATTAGCTCGTGTGTCAGGGTATCCTGCATGTGTCGCTTGCTTCCGAAATGACCTTCGCATAAAACAATGGCACCAGAAGGATGAAATCCACCGGAACGCGTGCAATCGCATGACCCACACACGATATTGGAGGGTGGTACGGCACAGCCGGACAGTCGGAGATGCTTAAGCATGAAAACGACAGAAGGACCTGCGTGCGTCCGTGCGTTGGGCGCAATGAAGTAATAAGTCATAGCCGGTCAATGTTCGCGACACGTCGTCAACCAGCCAAAGCGGAGAAAATGTGCCAAAGGGGGAACAATCAGATAAAGGTGTCATACACGCGGAAACAATGAGACAGGCGCACTGTAGTTCAGGAGCTCGGTCTTCCATTTCTCGCAGCGGACATGTTTTTGTTCATCAAGATAATGTTGGCGTTCTTCCGGCGTCAGCCCAAGACCGGTAACGAGGGACGCTTTTTTGAGCCACCTTTGAAACGCGCGGGACTCGGAAGGGTTCGTTGCTGGAGCCGAGGAGGGGGGATCCATGACACTGCATACCGCGAGCGGGAGAAGTGACAACGAAGTGTCTCAGCGTGTCACGTGATCCTTGTGCGCTTTACCCTTCCAACAGGAGTTCAATAATATTTCCTAGTTGTGAGTGGAATACGCTAAACACGCACGCCTTGCTAACCACCATCTACAGTCGAAGACAAGAATCAAGCACCAAGGCCCGACGGTTTGTTGGTATTGAGGATACGAGCACGGAGCGATAGCCCCACGAGACTTGGAAACAATGAGGGCAACGATGTGGGACGATTCATCTATCTCTTCACAGGTGTCTATTTATCTCATATACGTATATGCATACCGAGAATTTCATCATGGGCGGATGTGACTTCACCAGCCGCTGTCTCACCCTTCTTACGGTGCGCCGCGCGCTTCCCCGGCGGTCCGTTCGGGTGAATACAAATTGTTGAGCTGCGCATTCAGTGTTGGCACTGTTCTTCCGCTCCGGGAGCTTGCCAGGGCAGCGGCCCTACTAGGACGCGGGACCGACAATGTATGTAGACGTTGTTACGTCGCAACATAACAGAAAATACAGTTGCCGCGCGCACGTTTCGTCGTGATTCGTGAACCTGAAAATGTAAACGAAGGAGGAATGTCTTCGACCGACAGCACCCACATAGTACTCAGTTGGCACTAGGGGGCGGCCCGATAAACCACTGGTAAACACAAAAAAGCAAGGCATATAAGACTGGCTCACCCGACAGGGAAGGTAACAGCAATACTCCCCGGCTTGGGGAAAACGTTATTCACGATACCAAAGGAATCATGGAACACCTTGTTTACCAGTCCTATGGAGAAAGTCGGAACGTCCGCTGAGCTAGACGTCCACGCTTACAGTATCCAAGGCATTGAGTGTGCGGCAGAGTGAGAGCATTAATGTACCGAAACCGGGTCGACAACAGGTCAGCCCATCAACAATGGATAAATTAGCCACAGAAGTTGAGGAACACGGCAGACAAGAAAGACGATAAGGAGGGTTTTTTTTTTTTGAAGCTGCAAGATGCAGGTGTTCTCTGCTGAGTTTACATTTAAAAGGAAGCAGAAATGCGCACATTCCGATGTGACGTCGGTCGTCCTGCCTAATATACTAACGGAGTACAATGTGTTAGATGGTGACCCATAAAATACGCACTTCACTGTGTGCATGCTCGCGTCTCAAGTTCCACCCAGATCAAAGCAGCAATGGTTATACGCATCACCGTAGCAGACCGGCGTTGTGTTGTGGTATATTGTATGTGTTTCCTGCTACCGAAACAACCTCGATGTGGAGTGATGACACTGAAAGGGTCGATCCCTCCGAAACATCATATGAAATAGAATGACATACATATGTAGTATCGGAAGGCGAGATGGCACCACCAGGACAACTCGATCCGTCACTTCTGGCAGCCAGGGTTGTTCAACTTGTTTTTAAGATTAGCTTTCTATTCTGACATCGACCGGAACCAGAGGCGAGGAATCAGAAGCGTTCCATTGAGTCACTTTGGGGCACCGCTGCCATGCTGTTATTTTGCGACATTAGTCGCGTGTACCGCCGCATGGTGCCCATGCTTGAACACTAACGAACTCTGTTAGCAATTAAGAAGCAAATATGACATACCTACAGCCTTAGCGGGCATCACGGTGGATAATGTCATGTTGCTTCCCGTAGCAATATTTGGAGGGTTTCTGACACAGGGCATGAGCTTCAAAAAAACCTAGTAGCCGATACCTGTCCGACGTACATGATACCAAACACGCCTGAATTCGAGTAGTGACCTGGCATACCACAGTAGCAACAGTGCAGTTGGTATCATTGGCAATCTGTTGAATTAGACATGAACTTCCACTCCTCACACAAACCTAAAAGCCTATTTTTATTGTTCTCCCAACGCAAACGGCGCATACATGGCTTTATTGCGAATCTAATCAGCTTCCTATCAGATATCTGGCTGATATGGGCAGAGGCATGGCGTCACTACCAACAGCGACACACTGTGGGAAGTAAACACACTGAATATCAGTGCCAGTGGTACTGATTTGAGCAAAATCAGTACCACTGGCACTGATCTAGTGAGCACTTCTTTTCAGTGTTGTCTTCGCGGGACTGATTTTCAGTGTGCATTTTTTGGAGCACTAAATTTCAGTTGCTGGCACTGATTCCCAGTACCACATATTTTGAAACACTGAAAACCAGTGCCCCGAGTTTGTTGGCACTGATTTTCAGTACCACATTTTTTTAGGCACTGACTTTCAGTACTCGAAGTTTACCAGCACTGATATTTAGTACATGACATTGTCACCTTGTTTACTCACACCAAGTTGTCAAACCAATAAAGTGAGATTGCATGCAGATGCGGTATTACATTACTTTGGAAGTATCAAGTGTATAAATGACAGACAAATGCACGAAATCACAGTGGCACTGCAGCGCAAACGGTGTATTTGAGCCACCCAGATGTAGGGTTGCCATGGAGCACGTCGTATTCAACCAGTAGAGGCTGAGTATGCACTTCAAAGGCGCACTTGTGGCATGTGGACACTTGAGTCTTCGGGTGATAACCACTCAGTGGATGAGGGTCCAGCTTTGATCATGCCCATGGATGGATGGCACCACATTTCAGGCACCCCATGGATAGAGATGTGCCCCATGGGCGCTGATGGCTGTGGTACCATGAGTACCTGTATATGGCAAGGAGAGGGGCAGCAGTGAGTGGGGCAGGGCTAAGTAACCATGGCGCCCTTGGCAATCCTAGGCCTGAAAGATGAAAGAGCATCACATCAGTGTGCATCTGAAGTTCAAGTGAGACATTGAGTAGGTCATGGATAACGTTCTCCAGAGCATGTCCTTCAATCAAGACTTTGACACTGTATGACATGATGAAAATTTTGACAACCGCGTTGAGGAAATCCTTGGCAGTGAATGCAACCATATACTCTGGCCAGAGTCTTGGCAACAGTTAGTAAGGTTCTTTATAGATCAATCATTAATAACTGACTGTGCGATAGATTGCTTCAACGCTGCTAATGATTGTTCAAAGGAAACCACAGGGCCACAAGTCAACATAAACAGTGTAGAACTGTAGACCATGTTTTGCAGGGGAGAAGCAAACAGGCATGTCATGAACTGAAACGGATGAGAGAGAGTAACCTCCTCATGTCAGTCATGTACCTCGCCAACCTCCATTGCAACATCCTCACCACTCTCACCCTTCCCTGCAAACAGGTCACTGCAGGTGACTTCGCTATGAACAGTAACAAATATGATCTCGCACTTGAAGGCATTGTCACACACCAAAGGTGTTTGGTGAGGTGGACATGGATGTAGCTGATGAATGGAGGTGAAGACCATAGCCCTCATGCAAAGAAGGACAGCCAGCAATGTCAGCAGTCATCCCTCGCACAAGAACAGGTTGTCAGTGCCAAAGAAAAAGGAGGAGGCAAGTTAAGCACCAATAAAATTCTTAAGCACCTGTGTACGGCATTCTGGTTTTTGACGTATCTCCACCAATTCTGCAGACACCGAAACCATTCCCACACTCGCTTGTAGTGCTCAGCCACACGATCCTACCTTCCAGGATTGGAAAGGATTTGCGCACTCCACACGTTTCTACAGCACTCCCTCCAAAAGACGCTCATTTCACTAATTCTTCTGATATGGCTGCCTCCACATCAGTCATTTCACTTGTCCCCTTTGCTAGGGACCATGGCTACATATATCTACCAGGAGTTCCTACCAGCTTCCGTCCTGAAGCGTCCTGGTACATCCCACCCTCATCTGCCCCCTCTCAGCCCATCCAGCTTGGACAGCGTGTTCTTTTTGTCAGTATGACCTCCAGGAGGACGTTCTTTGGTTGCCTCAGGTCTGTCATTCACTTGGAAAGGTCTTATGTGGTTGTTTCAGTCTCTCCAGTCCAAGAAGCATATGGATCCTTCCTCCCTGCCCCCTGCAACGTCTTCATACCAGTCTCGTCCATCATTCTTCCAAAATTGCGACAGCTACAGTATAATCTACTGTTCTCCACTCTCCCTGATCGCATCCATGATGAGTATGATGCACATCTTGCCTCCTTGTTGCAAGATACAGCAGAAGATGCTCCCCCTTCATCCTCTCTTCCAACAGAGCCTCGTTCATGAAGTTTTTATTTGCTTCACTGAGAGGATGGTTTGGGGGGGAAAGTTGCGATCCCCTATGCTCCTGTCACCCCACAGACCCCCAAAGCTTGACACCTGTTGACATCTGACTCACCCTGTCCACTTTTGGATGTACTATATCAGCATCAGATCAGCACTGCCTCTCTGTCATCCCACTTTGGCCTAGAAGCGATCTCTTCAAGATGTGACATGCACAGCCTCCCCCTAATGTGATTCCAGTGCACTTTCCCAGTTCCTGACACTGCTTGACTCATACTTTGACATTCTGACTGTCTTTGACTCACCTATTGCCAATACTTACCAATCTTTTGACTTTGCTTACTGATTCTTCGCTTTTTGGCTTACTTATCCTTACCAATGCTTACCAATGCTTTCCAAGATGATTACCCATCGCTTACATTCCTTACTCATCAGTTACCAATCACTTACCAAGTGTTTGCACCTTGTTTTCCATAGGCAATGCCCCTGTACTGTATATAAGTCACTGTACTTAGGTAGCAAAAAAAAAAAAGAAGACATCAGAGAGCCCCTCTTGCTCACAATTTATCATCTCTCAGTAAATCATTCATCAGCTTCGATAGTTGAGACTTTATTAAGGGTCTAGCTATCATCTACTTTGCTTATCATCATCTATCATCCATATACTTCACTCCAAGCCCTCCCTGAGCTCAGTACAGCTTAGGACATCGAATTAAGTCACCATCCATCCTTCTGTAGGCTGACAGCAGTCTACTCTATCGCTTTCTATCACAGTCTTGCTCCCTCTTTGTCAGGAGCACCCCCAACCCTCAGCACTCATCTTTGAGTGTTGTAGCTCGCAGAAACCCTCCCAAAAAAACAGGTTCTACCATCTAGGTACTGCATAGGCACACCACCACTTGCTTTTGTTGTCTTTTGTGTTGGTTTTGGTTGGTTTTCACCACTGAACCACACTTTGACTCACAGCGTATGCACCCAACTTTTCACCCAGTTTTTTGATCCTCGTACTCCACCGACTAAACTTTCAATCCGTACCAAAATCGAAGATTATTTTTTGATACAGAAGGGAGTTGCTTGTGTGATATTCCTTGATGGTCATGTTGAGGAGCGATGGCAACGAACCTTGAATTTCCACTCCTGTGCAGACAAGCTCAAGAATAAGGGTGGACTCGGCACACACTTGAGACTTAGATGCCCTTTCACAAATCCCTGAGATGATGACTGGCTTATCCAACATGGGAATTCTCTTCCCGAGTATTGTGTGCATGAATGGCTTGGACTCATGTCAGCTCTATTCAGATTGTGAACGATGAATAACTCACAAAGTACGGATGTAGCTCTTTGTGCTTCGCACCACCCTCTTCGAGTTTGTGGCAACTGGGACACTGGAAGTCTATGTCCTCGGCACAGGCCTTGTCTGTGAGCCACTGTGCTAATCCTAAGCAGGGGTCGCACACGACACGAGGGCAGGAATAGCACTTGAATAAGTATTTAGCTCCATTGTGGCAAAGGTAGCAATACTACTTATTGTGTTAGCAGTGATAGGAGGATGGACCTATAGTACATACCCAGTTACGCCACTCCTCAGCCAGAGGGGACTGTCCCCGAGAGGATGGAATGGATGTCAATGAACTCAGTGTTGAGGCCTTTGAGGTGGACTGCACGGATGCACGTCAGATGGGGGTGGCGCAAGCAGTGCGAATGATTTGCACTCATGGCACAATACCAGACGTGGTTTTCTTCGTGTTCTGCCTTGTTCTGGCCATGGATAGTTCCTTAATGAAATGTTGACACGTGACGTGCTAACTTGCAACAAGAAAATTGTTGTTGATGCATCAGTAAATTCAGCCAAATTACAGCATGCACATTAGACAGTTTTTGAATGCTCGGCAAACACTGGTGAACATTAAGCACTTGAAAACCCAGGTTTTTGAATGCTTAGCTTTACTGATGTGTGAAAACAGGTCCACACAATGTAACCGACCACAGTACATCATGCATGTTCAAATCTCAGCAGCTTCTAATACTAACTCTGCAGGATCGTTGAAACTGCTGGCCGACATCTGTCACCCATTTCACTGAACCTTACTTGTGATACCGTTGGCCGACATCTGTTGCCCATATCATGGAGTAAGTGTTCATGATTTCTCAGCTCGTTGAAACAGTTGGCCTACATCTGTTGCCCATTTCTGTGAGCTGGTGCTCATGCACCCAAACCTCCTTGACCTGCTCATGAAACCATTGGCTGACATCTGTTGCCTGTTTCACTGAGCCTTCGTTGGCTGACATCTGTTGCCTGTTTCACTGAGCCTTCGTTGGCTGACATCTGTTGCCCATATCATGGAGTAAGTGTTCATGATTTCTCAGCTTGTTGAAACAGTTGGCCTACATCTGTTGCCCGTTTCTGTGAGCTGGTGTTCATGCACCCAAACCTCCTCAACCTACTCATGAAACTGTTGGCTGACATCTGTCGCCCATATCATGTAGTAGGTCTTCGTGGTTTTCACACTCAAGGCAACAGACATGGGGACAGTTGGTATATGGTCACAAAATTGACTTGTGATTGTTTTTTTTTTTGACAGGCAGGCCTGCACACTGACCTTTGGTTGTACAGTTGAGACATATGGCAAGGAAAACCTCATTGAACCTCTTCCGGTGTCTCCTGATCAGGTCGCTTCTTTGTGCTACACCTCAGTACATTCCTAATTGCACTCTTGATTGGCTGCTTCATTCATTCTGGATGATAGGGAACAACAAACTTGCCAAAAGGTGGAATACCATTCATGATGCCAGTGGTTCTTAACTTATCTTTTCACAGGAGCAATCATCACCCACATGAATCTCACAAGCATGGCGTATGCTAACACCTTTGGTACCAGCTTTCCCCTGGGCTGCTGTCTCATGTCATACTTGCCACTGGCACACATTTATGAGATTTGTGGGATTCTATTGAAGTCTAATAACATATCTCCATGATTTGAGTGTGCAGCGGATTTGTGAATTGACAGTAATCACTGTGGGTGGATGTATTGGGTACTCCACTGGCGACCCCTTGCGCTTGATGGATGACACCTTGAAACCTCACTTTTTCCCATCAGTACCATGAGTGCTGAATAGGGTATACCAAGCTGCCATGTCCACTGGTAATGTGCTGGGTGTGAAGGGTGCTATTTTCCGAACAGAAGTGCAGACGAAACTAGATCAACTTCACAAGACCAGGGTAACTGCCCACATCATATGGGATGCATTGGTGTTCCACAAGGTTCGTGGCAGGCTTCTTGATGCAGTACTTGATTGGCTCACTCTACTTGGCTTCCAGATTCATGCTGCACTTGGAGGGAATGTTTTGCTGATGGTCACCAGTTCTGCTCCCATTAGCGGCGAAGTGGTTGATTTCTTCAAGATCGCTTTTGGTTGTGGTATTACAGAAGGTGTGACAAACCTACTTCTTTTCCTTCCCTCACTAATTTTTGTCCAGGGTAAGTGAGGTCACAGGGTCGCTCGATTATGTTCCATTAATGACTCTGGGCAGTTATGGCATGACAGAGAATTGTGGAGTTTGCATGTGCACTTCGCAGGGAGACCCAACTGGTGGTGGGGTGATCAGCCTGCCTCAACCAATTCTCGAAGTCAAACTCATTGACCTTCCAGCGATGAATTACCTGTCTAACGATAAGCCGAACCCATGTGGAGAGTTATGTGTCTGCAGCCCAAACTGCTTCATGGGATATTATAAAGGTATGTCTCCTCTTCGCCATTTACTAAGGCGTGTGAAAAGAAATGGTATCCATCAGATGAGAAGACTACCCAGGAGATGCTGAAGGACAGCTGGATACACACCAAGGATGTCGCAGAAGTTGATAGTTCCAGATGCTTCAAGATCATCGATCGAGTGAAGGTGCATTGTCTTTTTTGGCCCACCCCTGGTGTGGGTAAGTAATCCATACACACCAGAACATTATGAAATTGGTGCAAGGCAAGTACCACCGAACATGCCACTTTCACTATCCTTCATCCCAGCCTCCCCTCCCCAAGGACCTGTAACACTGGGCTCAACAATGTTGGCTCTTGGCACCATCTTGGCATCTGTCCACCTGCCCCCCCTCCTAGTCAGCCCCTCCTGCAGCTGCCACCATTGCCCTTATCTTCTACCCCATCACGAAGAGTTCTCAACCCATCTCCAGTTCCGCCATCACCATCAATGGCCACATTGTGGGCTCCATCACCACCAGGACAGCTTTGTGTGACAATGTCGACAACCTGTAGGAGTCACCTTCTCGGGTGGAGACATCATTGACTATTGTGGGTGCAGGTCTGTTGTGACATCCTTCAGGTAGCTTTTTGGATCTGGAGTGTACTGAGTCAGGGCTTGCACCTGGAAAGGGATCACATCTCTCCCCAGTATGTATATATGTATCAATATCCTGTGCATCGTCACACCATGAATTCCCATGTATATGGTATTATATTGAATCAACTACTTCTCTCACAAGATGAAGTCATCATCATCACCATGTTCATCATGTAAATATCCTTCCATCATATTGTCTGCAAAGGTTGTCATTGCTGTCCCAGGTGCCCTGTCAATGATACCCCATCTCCCTCACATCTTGACTAGGCCTACAACAGCTCTTAAGCTCCTGATATCCATAATTATCCTTGCTTTTTGAGACTTGAAGAACACGACCTCTTCTGAGGCTACCTTTCCATCTGTGTCCCATGGTCTAACAAGTGCAACAACAATGGTTTTGCCTCTGAGTTCTCCAAAGAGCAGTGTGGCAGGCAAAACAAGGGCTATTATTTTTTCTAGGTCACCATACCCAGTTTGGGTTAAGACAGAACCTGTGTGGGTCTCAAACACTGTTTCGAACTATGGATATCATATTGATAATAGTATCTAATGACAAAAATTAGTGTTGCAATACAATTGAATCAGAAACATGCATACCTCTCATATTTCTGCACCCAATCTATAATACATCTTTTGATATCATCAAGTTGTCCATGTGGGGTGCGAAACTGTAAAGTAGCCTTCATAATTGCCACTAGCTCACACATGTGCTTGTAGTATTTGTCTTTGGAAAAGTGCCCCTTCAGTAGCTTTGGAGCAAGATGCATGAACCAAAAACACCATGTCTCTGCCATAAAGAGTGAGCGGTCTGTTGCGATATTCACAAGCATGTGGACAAATGTAGATGGTATGTGTTGGAGAGCAGCAGCAGTTTCTTTTCCAATCTCCTCCCAAATTTCGGTCACAATTTCAAAGTCTTCATTACCCATCCCAAGACCCTTGAATTGGCCTGTCCAGAAGTTGACAAGGTTTGGGACAATGTTCTCTAAGAACAAATGAAACCATTCCCATGGGGACGATCGTGCATAATCCAAGGACCTGACACGAGTCAGGCCTGGCAATCCTTTGATGCCAGTCTCCTTTGCGATCATCACCATCTCTTTTTTTGTTTCAGCCACCGCAATCCTCGCCATTACATCTGAGAAGTCATCATGGTGTCATAAAGGGGCTGGTTGATAGAGGGTCCTTGCACTGTGGTTTTGAGATGGCGGGTGAAGAGGGACATAATAGGTCTTGCCTAAGCCACAAACAGCTTTCACCTTGCATGAACAACAAGGGAAGATTGAGTTATGGCCCTTGAGATTTAAGAAGCACTTGATTGCAATGATATCACCAGATTTGACAATGATATACACATGCATCTTGAAAAGGGCTTGCTGGGATGCATCGAAAGTCTGGATGCCATATGCTAGCTTGGCACATTCATTGTCCAGGGGAACGAGAAAAGAATGAAGGTCCTTGGGTTGGTGCGGGCCAGGAATAATTCCAACACACAATAGGTTTTTGCTGTGAGTTCGCACATGCAGAGGCAGGTTGTAGTTCTGCAACAGGAGTGGTGTACTGGACAGGCCCTTGCATCGCTGCCTGAAGAGTAAATAGCTGTCGGTACAAAGGCCCAATGTGATATCTCAGGAATCTGAGAAGTATTGGTGAGGTAACTCTTCTCCATCAACAATAACACAACAATGGAGAAGCCGCTGGTAATGATTCCCATCAAATACATCCACAATCTCTCCTCTCCCAATATCATAATCTGCATGGTATGAGAGCATTTTGATCATCCTCGTGCTTTGGAAATACCCTTGCAGTTGTGGGATAAGTGGGGGATACATGAATTGTCAACGTGGCCTTCCATACTGGTTGAATCGCGCTTCTCAACAGAACAGACAAGACTGAAGATAAATATATTTTTCGGTGTAGGCCACACATGAATTTCCGCAGCAGTCAACCAAGAGGGGTTTGATCCCAGATAGTTTGGCCACACGCTGAAAGATGACATATTGCGAGTTGAGGTTCATTTTGTGTCAGAAAGTGAATCGCATCTGTGAGTAAGCACATCAAGTGATTTGGCCCATCATAAGGAGGTTAAATGTGCAGATATTGTCACGATCTTCATCTGATAGAATATCATTCCCTGATGCATGATCAGTTCGCACATTAGAGCCAGGGCAACCAGGCATGTACAGAGAGTGAACAGATCTCGTTCTCTTTTATTTCTCACATTGTCTTCCAACTCATCCAGCAGCTCATTATCATCTCCCTCGAGCTCTTCAGCCCATACCCATACATCATCTTGAACGTCACTTCCAGGGTCGGCCTCAGACTCGGACACCCCACTCACACCTGTTGTGTCTGATGACTCAGATGGAGATGCCAGGTGGGAATGACCACCTGAGATGATTACTTTAGTATCATTTAATGTTCAGCTTGTTGAGCTGACCTTCAGCCAGATCTAGTTGGGGGCTTTCTTCGCCTGTCAGGCTTTCAGAGTCACACATGCCTGCCAGTTGCCCCATGGATGCAGCCTTCTTATAGTGACACCACTGCTGTGTGCTGCTCAAGCGCACACCACATCCTGGATTGCACCAACAATGTTTCCTCCTTGGAGATTGAATTGGAGGCATGGTCAGTATGTTTGACTTAACTGACTTAGCAACATGTACCAAGCTGTGATCACCTGACCTGAGCACAGCCACTCCAAGGTTGTTGCTTACATCCATTATCCTATGCACTGTATCATCTCTGCCATCAAGCCTCCAGCCTCGATGACGAAGCTGAAGCACAAGAAGCAGTCAAGGATCAATAAATTAGGAGAGTCATTATCAGAACTCCATGGGGATTTGGAAGTGCACAAATGTGAGTTCATTGATACCAACAGGTACCATTTAGATCTCATATCTCTTCCTGCAGGAAAGAACCATGCAAAAGAGGAGAGGAGGTGGAAAAAACAGCAAGATAAACATACTAACCAATGGTTAAGATTGATTAACAAGCCCAAGGGCCAAGCAGGTCGAGGCAGCAGCTACAAGCTAATAGATGCCTTGGGACTCACAGAGAAGAAGGACATGTACAATCACCTTTCAGTACATCTTCCATCCCTACTATTGTATTCTTATTACCTGTATGCTATTCAATAGGATGTTGTACAGAAATTGGTCTACCGCTACCTGGATACAAGTCATTCACTTTCTCACCAAAGTGACAAGCTCCTTGTCGAGAAAGTCATTCAGAGGGTAAGGGAGCACATTCTAAGTGCATATAGCCACTAATAACCCAGATTCACATCATTAGGCCCAAGCAGAATCAGAAATCCTCATGCGGTGTGAGGGAGGCTGGGATGCACATGCTTTAATTGCCCAGGTATTGAAAAACCGGTCAACATCTGAATGAAGGCAAAAACAGAATGCCAAAGCAAGGGTTAGCAGTTACTTTTATCTATATTTTGATCTTGAGTTGATTCCCTGGTATGTTTAGAGGAAGAGAGAAGAGTCTAATGATGAAGATGAGGAGGAAGTGGGTGCAGATGATGCTGGTGCTAACAGGTGCATTAAACGTACTTCAGGTACACAGAAAAAGGTAGGCATGTGTGTTCTACTATCACAAACTCACTCCATGTCATTCAGAGAAAGAGGGACAAGTCCGAGTCTGAGTCTGAGGAAGTGGACACAGACAATGCCAGTGATAACAGGCATGTCAAATGTACTTCAGGTACACATAAAAAGGTAGGCATGCATGTTCTACTATCATGAACTCACTTCATGTCACTTAGAGAAAGAGGTCCGAGTCCGAGTCTGATTCCAAGTCTGAGTCCAAGGAAATGGACACAGGTGATGCTGGTGATAACAGGCACATCAAACGTACTTCAGATACACAGAAAAAGGTAGGCAAATGTGCATTCTACTATCACAAACCAACTACGTGTCGCTTAGAGAAAGAGAGACAACTCCTAGTCCGAGTCCAAGGAAATGTATGCAGACAATGCTGGTGCCAGTAACAGGCACAGCAAACATGCTCCAGGTACACAGAGAAAGGTAGGTGAACAAACATCTACTATCTCGAGCTCACTCTGTGTCATTTAGATGGAGAGGGATGAAGATGATGATGATGATGAAGATGACAACAATGAAGATGAAGATGAGAGGAGTGTCTACCCAAAATGCACAGAAGCCAGACAGAAAATGGTGAGGAAGTAAGCTGTATGTGATTGCAACTGATGCCTGAACATTTTTCAGAGAAAGTCAATTGTTAGCGATGATGACATCCAGCCCAACATGCATGCCAAGGGTGATAAGGGTCACCAATGCCTGGGTGGTACTCAGAAGAATGTGAGCAAGTATATTGAGCTGTAGTCACAAGCTGATGTTCATGATGCACCACACAGTTTAGAGAAAGAGAAACAAGCTGGTGGATGAATCAATCGATGACCAGCAATCATGCATACTACGAGCAGCAAATGGCATGCTGGGAATGGAATGACAGGTATGGTCCGGAAAGTCATTCACTCTGTGCATTCACACTCTTTCAGGAATCTATCAGCAATGGGTCACACACTCCAAGACCACTCACATCAGTACAGGAGCAAGCCAATGAAGCAGAGGTGCCAGCAGCCTCTGAATGTCATGTATGTGTGCCTTCAAAACTTTGCATTCCATTTTTGTGCTCTCATACTCACACAGGATGGGTCACAGAAGAAGAAAAGGGACGAAGTTCACGACATACTTTATGGTGCCCTATGTAGTGACCTTGCTGATTGCAGATGATTACAGTCCCACAACAGTTGTCAAGGCGCACAAGATCATGGTTGCAAGTAGTGATGCAGGTTCCCTCATCCACCCCACAAATGATGATGATACAGAGTTGGAGGAGATATTTCATAGAAACATTGTTGCCTTTCGACTAAAGCAACTGGAGCTCCTGACACATGAAGCAACAAGTGATACCTGGGATGCCACTCAGGCTCTGCTGGAACTCCAAGGGCAAATGCAGAAGGCATCTCCTATTCCATCATCCTGTGTAGGCTGTGCCTTGACTGACACCATTCACCTTAGCCATGACCTTGCCTCAGAGTTAAATTACTTGTGACAGATGATGATTCCAATCAAGCTGCCAACAAGTTACATTCAGAGCAGGCAAAGGTTAATGTTCACTACACACTTTATCCCACTAACATTGTGCCTTACTGACACTACTAACCTTACAGACCACAACAGTCATGCCGAGCAGCAAGTCCCAATCAACAGTGCCACCAGTGGCCACTGCATGTGTACTACCTTCAATGCTTCCAATGTGTTATACTGATATAGATATCACCACTTACACAGGTCCAGCAGCATGCCCCAAATGCAAGCATAGGTCAAACTGCTGGACTTGTCACATCAGTGAGTATAAGGCAATTCAGTTGTCATACCCCCATCACTGTCCTTTCTGCACTCATGACTCATGTGTGGTTGAATGTACAGGAACATGCTAAGGTAAATTGCACCACTTGATCAAAGACTTGGCAAGGCCAACCATGACAGAACATTCATAACTAGGCTGCGCCTTGTCAATCCACTCTCATTTCCTTTTAGCTAACTTATTTGGACACTTTCAAGACCGTTTACACACTTTCATCAGAACTCAACACCACCTCACACCTCTTGGACTTCTACACACCCAGCTATGTGTATTGTTGATTCCCCAGCCACACTGTTTATGCACTTTCATCAGAACTCACTGCCACCTCATGCTGCTTGGACTCCTATGCACCCAGCTATGTGTATTGTTGATTCCCCAGCCATGCTGTTTACACACTTTCATCAGAACTCACTTCTGCCTCGTGCTACTTGGACTTCTATGCACCCAGTAATCTGTATCGTTGATTCCCTAGCAGCACTTAATGTCGATGTGCTGTCTAATCAATGTTAGTTTTGCAAGTGAAACAGTACTTTTGTGACTGATGATAAGTGTGCTCTTGACTGAAAATCAGTGCCATTGTGAGTGAAAATCAGTGCCTTCTTCAATGGAAATTTCCAGAAAATAAGTGCCTAACATGACTGGAAATCAGTACCATTTTGACACTGAAAAAACACGTCAATGACACTGATGCATGGCACTGGTTATTAGTAGCAAAAATGAAATATCAGTGCCACAATTTGGCACTGATTTTCATCGCGTGGAACTGATATGCGGTGCTTTTGGGACTATTATACAGTACATGCGGCACTTGTTTTCAGTGCGTTTACTTCCCTCGGTGGACAACTAGGTGACGGTATGGCAGTTTGCGTTCCACACGAATAAAATAGCGGCACCGACGAAGGTATTCATCAGGAAGCGAAAAAATGGTTTAAACCTGTTTAAACCCGTCACTGACTGGTCGTGACCGCGATTCTGTCATTCCCCGTTTCTCTGATGTTGGCGATAAATGGACCGAGGGAGCTACGATAACGAGACTTCACGAAATATGGTCCCATTCTCAAACAGAATTGGGTTGGGGAGGTCTTTTCATGCTCGTACATTTTCCCAAATACCATACCTTTGCCGCCAAGGAGGACCGAAGCATTTGAACACTTTCATAGTGAGGAGGGGATACGGCAACTGTTTGAGAAATACGTAGTGAAATTACGTTCATAATTATGTGACAAATGGGATGATTTACCCTACAGACCCGTATGTAGTCTTTGTAGACACACTTGCGCGGCTGTCGAGGCGGTTACGCCTTGATAAGAGGTGACTGTGGATCTCTGTTCGCCTCAGCGAAACCCTTCCTTGCTGATCGTCAGCATCGGGATCTACAAAACTGCTGAGAGCGAAATGGTATGGACTTACTTTATGTACATACACGTCAAAGAAGAGAAATGTTTTCGTTATGTAACCGTATGAAGGAGCAGCCACAGGCAACAACTTCCAACGACGATGTCCACGATGTCCACTGCATCCATACTTGCTCGATATACACTGCGTGCGATGGAAAAAATTGCACCATTACGACTGGCAGAGAAGTGGGATAATGTCAGTACCGCTGCTAAGTCACATCATCCACCGAGCAGCCATCCCGTCCTCGGGCTTCTGCCAGCATGATGTGGTCGAAAGTGATCAGCAGACTCTCTGAATAATAACACTGACTTGGATCATAGGTAGGGCTCCTTCTTGGTGCGTACGTGTGTCAGACTTTGCGGAAGACATAACAGGCGGTGGCGAACGAATGCAACGCACGCTTCTGCATGCGATGCCATGATGCGAAGCCGCGATCGTCCCCGTACTGATTCTAATGGTGACCGGTTGATTTAGAGTCCCCCGTTGCGCGTCCTGAAGCGAACAGAGTCCTTCTAACGATCGAGTGCGTCTCTCGGTTGTCAACCTTCTAAGAGCTTCTAACTAACTTATTCACACTTCTGACTTATTACTTGTTCCGTTTCCTTCCTCTGTATACTCGTACATGCCAATCTCGCGCTTGCCGGCTGATTTTTTTTCCAGCTTAACCCCCTCCGTGTTAGAAGAAGCCCTTCATCCATCCACAGCTCTTGTCATCTCCTACCACCCACCCATCTTCAAACCCCTCTCTTCATTCACGCTTGCTACCTCGCTTCAAGCCTCACTTCTAAAGCTGGCAGCGGCGGGCGTGAGCGTGTATAGCCCACATACCGCCCTTGATTCCGTCAGAGGCGGGGTCAACGATTTCTTGGCGAGTGGTCTCGTCGACATAGAAGCATCTACAGTCGGGAAAACAGTCCATGATATTGAGCGGGCGGGCGAGGTGAAATTCTTAAGTGGAACAATTAAAGAGGAAGACGAGGGTGGGCTCGGGAGATTGGTTGTGTTACATCGGGAGACAGCCATTGAAGTTGTAGTTGAAAGGATCAAAGATCACCTTGGACTCAGCTGTGGTGAGTTTCGACGTTATAGACGCGTGTTCTTCTTTTTAATGCAGCAATGATTCCTATACATACATATCCGCAACCCATCCTCGCACTGTCCTACTCCTCTCTCCCATTCAGTCGACCTTGCCCGCCCGCTTGTACCGCGCCAAGTACGCACCATCGCAATATGTGCAGGCTCCGGAGGGTCAGTTCTCGCTGGTGTCAACGCAGATGTGTACTTCACGGGAGAGATGGCACACGTAGGTGTTCAGATTGCTTCTCCACAATTTTTCCCGCCCTGGATGCCTATTCTTCGCTCTTTGCGTACTCTCGTGTCAAAAGTAATGACAAAAAAGTGATTCTCAAGAACTGACACGAAGACGCACTTTATAGCACGAAGTTTTAGCAGCCATCTCAGCAGGGCGATATGTCATTCTATGTGAGTTTTTTTGGTTTGACTGGGATCATATGATGGCTTTTCACACGAATGTACACTGACTTGCCGATCGAATCGAATGGATGTGTGCATGCTGGGACAACTCCCGTCGCTCGTTGGAACTTTCGACCTTCTCATCCACTCATGTGACCTGAAAACAAACCACTTTCTGAACGTACCTTAGGCGGACATACGAACACTGAACGAGGCTATCTCCCCGTCTTGGCATCAAAGCTGCGGGCTGTACTCGCCGAGTATGCGCGGCCCACATCCACCGCGATGTCTCTGGGCGACCATGATGGTGATGGAGGTCCTAATATGCAGCAAAACTCCGAGGTTCAGGGTCTAAGTCTGATGGAAAAGGAGAGGAGAGTTTTAAGCTGCGCTGAGGTGTACGTTAGTCAAACAGATAGGCACCCTCTGGACCGTGTGTAGCCTGGGTAAGGTAAGTTTGGACTGGATTGCTGGCGTGAGTTACCGGAAAGCCGGACGATTATGATAGGTTATTTGGCAGGTCGCCGGGTCATTTGGTGGGAGAGCACAAACTGAGTTAATTGTAATAAACATCTCGTCTCTCGACTCGAAGATCAGCATTATGTGGTGGATTCTGGCTTGGAGAACCAACGAAGCCGGAGCGATGGTCCAAGTAGGTACTAATAAGGAGACGTTAGGGAAGAAGGAAGGGTCAAGTTCAGATTACAATTCAAAGGAGTTAGTGCTCTGTAAGTTGGCGGATGCCGCCGTTGCCATTCTCTTGAACAAACCCGCCAACGTGCTTGTACTAGCACAGGTGCCTCTTAAAAGCTATCCGCGGGGACCATTGGCAAGAGAAGTTTGTTCACCTGGACGGAAATGAGTTACCGTGACATGTATAGGAAGCTGTATTTCAAGCGCCACAACATGCAGGTCCGTGGGTGAGGAGAGTGTCAGGAACCAGACAGATGGACATTCTTGTCCTTGGACCGGATGATGTAACCTTCGTTGACGTCGTTATTTGTCGTAGGCTGTACTGCAGAATTGCGTGAGATCGATGTGCATAGGCTGATGTGGGGGGTTCGTGAAATCTGACCATTATGTTACTGAGGGCTTAGGGAATCAGTTCAAAGTAAGAGGCGAAATGAGTAGATTTTCGCTTGTCCCAACGTCACCTTTGCACTCCGAATTCGAAATCGGACGAGTTACGCGATCAATTTAGGGTTGGGGTGATGATCAGAGCGGCGCAGGCCCTGCACCTGCACTACTGGGATGACCAAAGGAGATACATGAAACGCACCACTGGCGGGACAGCCTATCAGACCGTTGCACAACAGAGGAGACTGCTGTGATTCCTGCAATAGAGCTCAAGTGCTACATAGCACTGACCCATCGGGTGGGGTTTACTAGTGACGTTAGTCATGCGATCGCATAGATAATGACACCTCTTGGGAATTGGATTTAACGTCAAACAAGGTTTCAGTCAAGTGTGCAAAGGCTCGGATCGGAGGGTTACATGAAAGTTTGATGATGGCTGCAAGTTAACGAAGTCAGGGGAGCTGAGTGTGGGAGAGGTGGAACTCATGCGTGTTCACTTGACTTCCATTTCTCAATTCGAAATTCGGCGAGTTACGCACCCACTTCTGCATTTGAACAGTAGACTGAACACAATTAGAATGATGGTCTGAGACGACCCCTCGGGAAACAGGGGCTATGATAGTGGGACAGCTGACCATGTGTGGGACCACAGTGAGACACTCAGTTTCATAACCTTCGTATGCCATACAGCATGATGCCACTTGTTGAGATGGTGTTTGTATGGCCACGCAGACCAACGCGCCCCCGTGTTTCGTGCAGTCACATGGACACCGACACGTTCCGGATTCCATCACACTATCAGTGGTTCCACAATTCGTATCCCTTGAAAAGTTTCGGCCAAGCATGATCATGCGAGATCATTGTCCATGCGGGTGGCCACATGTTACATGTAATACACGTGCAAGAAAGACCAGACGATACGGCATGCGGAGATGACGAGGCTTTAGTGATTTGAAGTTTTCAACGGAGCCGTCGGGTCACTCACTGATCATGGCACTATCACAGCATCATCCTTTTGTTTGGACGTGATAACGGCGCAGGAATGGTAAGGGAGGGTGCTACGTTCAAGTTGAAACAAGCATACGCGGGGGGTTCGGGTCTGATTGAGTTGGACACTCTGAGTCGCAACGAAAGAGCTTATCCCCCAAACGAACGGTTTTCATTGAACGTTGGTGGCACGGATTCGACCCAGGTTTTTCATTCAGACGATAATGTGTGAGTGTGGCATGCAGAGTAGGTGTTTTAAGTCCGACTACATGTCTGACAGGTCACAGAAGAGAAGCAAGCTTCGAGAAAGTCAGCTAGAAGTGTGTAGAATGCGGCGGCCGACCGGACAGACAACACTGTCTTTATCTCGCACCTGGTCCGGTGTCACGTAACCTCATCACTGTTTATCGGACATGGCCAGTACGCACCTCGTTGTCATACTTACACCGATTCGACGATAAATTACATAACCAGGCGAGGATGATCGATGGGGCCTTGAGGTTTCAATGTGGGTTTCGCATTTGGGTTTCTGGGGGACATGCGGCCAGACACTTCTCTCGCGTGACCGACGGGGAGTTAGAGAGCGAGACTCATATGACCTGGGAGGAACGCCTCAGAAGATGTTAAGTCGATTGAACGACTGAGGGGTGACACCGATGATTCCTGTAACAATATTCAAAATACTATACAACGTCGACCCGGTGAATCGGCGGCCTGCGTTGGTCACCCTGCAAAGGAATCGGCACATCACGAGCCTATCCAGCCCTCAATTTGAACCTTAGTATGCACGGTTCCACGGCTCACGCCGCTTGCAAGGACTCGGGCAGTAATGCATGAATCAGGACAGTGGTTGGCTGAGCTAAAAGTTTGATGGTTAGATTATAGAAGTCTGAGGGAGGAGGTCAGTACGTAGGAATGCGAATGCGAGATGGATAATTGTTCGAGCGTTTCTGCCTTTCAATTCGAAATTTGGCAAGTTGAACTATCTTTGTTCTCGGCTTGAACGATGGCGATGCGAGGTTGTAGGTACGCCAGAAGGGACGCCCGAGAAGCCAAATTAACTGACCGTGGCACGACAGACGTGCTTCCTGCAACATAAGCTCAAAGACCGCACAGCGCCGACTTGTTGGATGGGTCACCCTTACTATCAAAGGAATTGACTCGTTGACCCCATCACGTTTCATTCGATCACCCGGATACTAGCACATTGTGAGACTATCTGGGGCCTAAATTCCATTCACTATCCGCGGTGCCACCATTCATATCATCTGCAATCGCCCATGTTAAACTTGATCAAGGAAGATTATCGTCATGCGGTGTATACATACACACGTATACCCCGCGATCCGGGAGGGGAAAGAGTTTGAAAGGCGGGGTGATACAGGATCCGGGGATGATGAGGCTTTAGTGATTTGACTTTTCGGCGGAACCGTCGTCTCGTTCATTGGTCCTTAGGTTTCCCGAGCCGTCTTTAACTTCAAATATCTTAGTCACAAGTCTGCGATTACTAAATGTACATAGTCGACTCGGCTTTTACCTCTGACCCGTTTCCGACCCGTGTATGAGGAAGTTGATGGGTAGGAGGCGAAGCACAGAAGGCAATATCCGCATCACGTGTGGCATTATCACAGCATAGTTGTCATAATGGACGTTGGGTTGGGCAATGCCCTGTGTTATTTGTCAAATCTAAACTCTGCTTCCGTGGGAGGTTCAGGCAGATGAGAAAGGTGGGCTTATTCGTACACCCGCAGTATGCGCGTACCTCGTGCCTGCCATACGCGGATTTGCGTATCGGGTCGGGGGCTGTACTCGAAGTGCTCATGACCCATGATCAAGGAGACCAAAATGCGAGGGAGTTGACGGAATCAGTCACGAGTCGATACGGGGGCATGATCACGTGTTGCACACTCCGATGGGTTTGGGTTGGACACCTCCAAACGTGGTTTTCGAGTTGCGTTTCAAGGGAATGAATTTCCTGTTGAGAATTTGTACGAATCCTTTGAGCATGCACCACGCAGCTCGGAATACTGACCCACCGCAAGTTGTTGAATGTGTAGCCGGCCAAACATGGGATAGGCGAGGCCGGATTTAATTTAAAGGCGGACAAATACGCATGCCAAAGAGAGACGAGACAAGAAGGGGAAAGCGAGACGACTCAGGGCAAGGTACGAGATATACTCGAGAGAAGAGTTGTCGAGAAAGGAAGGTGGGGAAACTTCCGGACAGAGCGTGACGATGGCAAAGAACGATGTGATGTGGACCTCATGTGTGCATGTTCAAGTGACGCAGAAAATAAACATCAAGCGGGGAAGAAGAAGGAACCTATGCAGGTACAAGAATCCACTCAGAAGCACAGGTCCAGTGTCTGGGGTACACACGTGGCATCCTACCAAACAGAAGAAGCGATGGCAAACTCCTCAGTGGTTCGCAGCCCTGTCAAGCACGAGAAGCTTTGTGTGACGCCGGATCTGGATGTGCGCGGTTTATGCTAAACTGGTAAATGGCTTACTAGGTGATAGCCACGGAACCTGGGAAAATGAATGAATAGGGAGTTTGCGGAATTGAATGTATCGCGCGTCGCGAACATCTCAATAGGTCGTTGCCAGCATGATGATCATGTGGATGAGCAAGGCCTGTCAACTAGCCACCTCTTGGCGGATGATTGAATTGCACTCGCCTCGACTTCTGGAAGCTTGCGTTGATGGCACGGTGGGAATGCGGGGCTAGGCATGGGCCCAGAATAGCGTATCAGCACCATATTACGCACACTATACTGATTTCTGATTATGTTCCAATGACGGGAATGGGACACGGATAAGATATTGGCACGTAGGTTGACAGCGCAAGAATAACCCGCGTCATGCCCCATTTATACCACGTCGTCACGCCTTGACGGCGACGTCGAAGGTGCCTGTATTTGGTCAGCTATACCGAGTGATTGTCATACAACGAAAAGGTCTCACTGGGCAATGCCTACGCACCCAAAAATAGGTGATTTTGCCGTTCTCGGCGGGAGGATGCAAGACGTAACTAGCAGTCAATACATGGCGCTATCTCTAGCAATACCGAAATCATGGGAACAATATCAGAGGATATGTGCATATGGGTGATTGTGGGCACTGGATTCGAGAGTATATGAACGTCAGCCAGTAGATAACCGTGCGAGCCTCCGGGCGTGGCATCAGCGGTGGTTAGGGTGCGCGTTCTGAAGCGGAATGGGAAACGTCAAAGTTGGGGTATCATGACTTTGAAAGGGTGAGTTCCCTCGACCAGATAGTGGGGATGTTTGTTATTCCCGCTGCAAGGGGTAGCAAGATACGAAAAATACACCGGGATGACGATGAATACCGCAAGGTGGATACATACGTGCCTTCTGGACTCCAATATTTCATTTTCATGGTGTTTGGTCGGGGACAGTGTTAAACCCAGCAGTTGCGCTGCTTGTCAGCTGTCATTA